TACCTCGAGTTGGAAGTTGAGCTCGGTTGGGTTAAGGTTGAAAGTTTTACATCTTTGGTTGGACTTGCGTTGATCCTTTAACCCGCCTAAGTTACACACCCTTATTGCCTCGTGAATATTATCATCTTTATTGGTTCAAAATTTTCATGGGTTAAATTTATGCCTTTTTTTTTCACAAGAACTCGAGTCGATTATTTAATGTGCCATATTCCCACTTGTCTTTGAAGTTTGATAATTATATGTGAAATTTTTTATCGAGTAATTGATAAGCTGATGGGGATCGTGTAGAAATTGGATAGATATTATAGATTAATTATGATAATTATTTAGATGCTTTTAATATTTAGCTTTTAAGTAATTTCTTTTAACTTTTAAGGGTTTAGTTGTCATTTTGATTATTTATTTATTTTAGGGTTTGTGATCTCCTTATATATATAAGATTTGTGAATTTCTTTTATATATAGGGGATATATATTTGTTGAGGGACTAGACTTTGATTATTGATTATTGATATTGAATTTTCTTCCTAAAATTCTCTCTCTATTCTCATCCCCTTCTTCTTCTTCTTTTCTCATCTCTTTCTTCTTTCCTTCTCATCTCTAATTCTTCCCTAATACGATTTACATCAATTTGGTATCAGAGCTATTACGATCTACATCATAAGCTCTTTTATTATGACATATTTGAATATATTGCTGGACAAGTGGGGGTGGAAAATAGCAGGATTGATTGTTATAGGTAGAAGCATCCCATATTTTAAAGGGGTTTTTAATGACTTGTGTGGAGATAATAAAATTTTCATGTCAAGATGGTGTTTTGTATCATATGTAAGGTGGTGCTCAAGAGTTTAATTTGGTCATGTTATTACATCATCTTCAATGTATACTAGGTTGAACTTCATATTACTTCATTTTTGTTAAATACAAATAGATATGAGGACACAGCTTTCGGGGTCATTAAGATTTTGAGAAAATAGTCAATTATGATGTAAGCATTGTGTGAGGTATCAGTATTCTTGATTCCAACTTGGTTCAACATTTGAGTTGCACTTGGTACCCATAGCCAAGTGTGTGCATTCTTTTCCTTCTTGTGGTTAAAACGTAAGTAGACAAATTTACCACGGTTAAAAGTGAATGGACAGATTTACTATTGTTAAAATGTAAGTTGCATGTTAAGCTGTTGGGTAATGATTCTAAATGATTTGGGCCGTTGTGCTTTATGTAGCGCTATGTTTTATTATAGATTGTAAAGAACTCGGGGACATTTACAGATTGATATAGCAAAAGTTTTAGGCTTTAAGAGAGCAAAATGGGACTGGAAACATCAGCATGATTCAGTTTTTGATTATTATATGGCTAATTTGATGACCTGGTTCCTGGGAGTCTGGAAATGAGTACGTAGGGTTCATGTTGTGGCTTGTGTTCATGTACTATGTGCTACAAATTGTGAAAGAAGTTATGAAAGTTATAAGCATTGTGATGCCCATTACATGATAATAAAACATTTTACTCAGCAAACTCTATTTTATGGAATGGGAAGGGCTTACTACCAGTTCCAATAAATATCCAACATATGTTAATTAGTAAAAATGTCAGTGTTTCATGTACCGAAGACTTGTTGTGGCTTAACAGTTTCAGCATGTAAATTCATGCAATTTGTCTGTGATTTTTATCTTGCAGGTTGCCTTCAGGACAAAGGTTTTTCATCCAAATATAAATAGCAATGGTAGTATATGCCTAGATATCTTGAAGGAGCAATGGAGCCCTGCCCTAACTATTTCAAAGGTTATTGTTCTTAGCTGTGCAGCTCACTTCTCATCTATTGACTGATTAGATTCTAAAATTGCAAAAAGCATCCAGATAAGCTATGTCCAAGGGAGTTATATAGATTGTTAGTTTTGAGTTCCATTTATCATATGGAAGTTCCATGATGACTCTAGAGGCCTTACACTTGCCTAATGTTATAATCTGGATGAAGATTCAACCAGTGCATACACAGATGATATAACCTCAATAGTGATCCTTTGCGTCACTCTGTTTGGTTTTTGATCCAGTGGGCTTCCTTGCCATAGGCAGATCACATTGTGGACCCCATCTTCTCATTTTCTTGATATTGCATCATGTAAAGTGCATTTTTGACTTATATTTCTGGTGTATGCCAATAAAAAAACGTTTTGTATTGCCCCAAACATATAGTGCCCACCTCCAAAATCCGGGTGATTTTATATTCTAAGCATCATATAGTTGAAGATTTCTTTCAAACATCGTTCACTGTCTAGTTTTTTGGTCCATTACCAAGCGCCCTTGGGTGTTAATCCATGCAGTGAAGTACCCCTGGCTTTTCCTATCCACCTTAAAACGAAAAGAGGAGGGGGGGGACAGCTTGTGTTATGGGGATCCTAACTATTGGGTGGATTTCCTCAATAAAGAAATGCAAGATTTCCACCTATGCAATTTATTCATAGTGTCGTTTTTTAAGGTGGGAAGGGTCGTCTCAATTTCAGGTGTTACTTTCAATCTGTTCGCTTTTAACGGACCCAAACCCTGATGATCCCCTGGTGCCAGAGATTGCTCACATGTACAAGACAGACAGGGCCAAGTATGAGACAACTGCAAGAAGCTGGACCCAGAAGTATGCCATGGGCTAGTAGCCTAGTGGCTAGAGCATCCAGGATGTTGTCCCCAAGTAAAAAGTAAGTGTTTGTACTCTCTGTACCTTTGATGGAAGATTAAGAATTGTACGAATTACTGTCCTCCATAAGAACAAAGGTGATGCTTTAGAGCTGTTTGTATGGAAATTATTATTTAAATCTTTGAAAAAATGTTTGTTTGATCTTTGATTAAATAACCAATTTACTTAATCTTGTTTAAATGTACACAGTTTACAAAATGATTGGGCTATGAATTGCTTGTTTAAATCTTCAATGGCTATCTGTGGATGATATTGCATGACTAGTTCTTCTGAAAGCTAGTTTTCTACACCAAATAATAGTTTATGATGCATATGAAAAAATGTATTGCATAACAGCTTCATAGATCATTGTGGCCGTCGTCTTTTATGACTACCAACTTGGTATTTGGACTATTTCATAAAGTATCGATCCTTATGCATTGTATAGTTTACACACATTGAATCCGCAGCAAAAAAATGTAGTTGCCTAGAACTTCTTAGCACACTGCATAATCATATGCTTTATGAACAAAGAATTAGGGCTTCTTTGCATTGGAATCAATTAAAAAAATTGGAATCAATCACTCATCGCTTCATGATTTGATTCATTGGATCGCAAATTATAACAAATTTTCGGAGTATAACGTTAAATCGGCAAAATAGAATTTTTTTCCCTCAGAAACTTGGGCTGATACAGATAATTTTCTAGCATTGCTATGGAGAAAAGCTGAGAAGGGAATGACTCTACTCCTCCGCCGGGTCTTGTTACGAAATCGGGTTTCATTCAACTCAATCACTTAATGGGGGTTGTAGGAGAAAATATTGGGTGTAACAGTAACACTACGTCATCATTGACATGAGGTGTTATCCTCTAATAACAAACTTATAAATAGATAAAGAGAATTTCGCTTGATTATTAAATAACATAGCAGGGGTAGTTACTATAATATGTGAAATTCATCAGTTCACATGTTATTTTATTATTAAACAGTACAATATGTCAATATGATGATATATTATAACAGTTCCTTCAATATTTTTTCGAATTTTAGGGAGATTTGACCCATCAACCGCAAACTCAGGTGGGGTAAAAGAGATGAAATCAACTCCACCAACTAACCAGAGACAAATGATAAGCTCTGTTTGGATGTTGTTCTCTCTTTGCTTGGAGCTAAAGCTTTCTATCTGCGGCCCCGATCAATCCCTTCCATTCGTAATAATTATCTCTGGTCAATCATTTCTCATTTGACTTCTTTTCACTCCTTGAAATAATTATTGATCCAGCAAAACATTTAAAAAAAAAAAGGGCAAAAAGATCGTTCTTGACATTTACTATTAATCACAAACCCAGGTGTAATAAAAGAGAAATAAAGATTTGGAAATAAAGCGATTTTTAACAAAATTTATATTTTGAATGACATATAACTTTCTGATTCTGGGCATTTGTGTGAAATACATGTGCATTGTATATAAGTTTGTCAATTGTGTCGGGTAATGTGAGTTCGTGTCAAAAAACACTTCATTCATATCCGATTCGTTTATTAATTCGTGTCTAACAAATTATGTAATATCGGATTTGTGTCATATATAAACTGTACTGGGATATAAACGAGTCATGTCACGTATTTCTTTTGATTGACTTGATTTATAACCGATTCGTTTATTAATCGTGTCGGCTTCACTGGTTTACTAAACGGATGGCTTAAGAAATACCTAAACTTTCCAATTTCGTATAGTGATAATTAATTGTATTATATTTTGGCACTCCTGATTGTATCGACATCATGCTCATTTGTGTTTTGAGGTTAGTGATTAGAACAACTTGAAGCACGACGAATGAACTGATGTTGGATTAAAGGCAATAATTAGGCTCAGGACACACCGAAAAAGTATTGGATTTGTCATGCTGCATCATAACATCATATGGAGCTACAGATAGTTCTTTCCCATTCGAAAGTTATTTTGCAATTTTGCAACTTCACTTTGTAAAACCGTGTTTTCCAACATATTTTCCAAACTGCCGTTATTTTCATGAAAACGTGATTTAAACACACTTTTATAGAAGCAATATTAGTTTAAGAAATAAGTTAGAAAGTGCGGTGTTATGGTAAAAAAGTTGTAAAATGACTGTAGAAGAGACATTGATTCAGCATACATGTGATGAAAAGTGAGATTGTGGGGTATGCACAGGTAGGCCTCAAACAGTTCCAAAGAAAACTTCACTTTAAAGCAAATCCACACAAAAGAAAGAAAAAGAGAACACAATGATCAGTACAAATGCCAAATACAGACCATAAAAAGATGGGGAGACCTACCTTCCATTTCCAAAAATGGTCTCTCAGGATTTTCACAGCCAAGAAAAAAGAGAAGCTGGGAAAAAGCGCACGAATGAGATTGAGGGTCATTGTTTTACTTTGATGGAGCTGAATAAAAACCTGAACAATCTCATTGAGAGAGCCTGTGCTTTGCATGACAGAATCAATGATAATTTACATGAAGAAATCAAATTCTGCAGATTTTGTTCAGAACATGGTAAGTTGTGTGAAATTGGAGAGACCCCAATGGAAGAGAGAGAAAGATTGGTTTCTATTAGAGATTCACTCCAAGATGTGGGGCACTTGCTAGTGTTTTTACGGGTAAATGGTTCCTTTTCATGCTAGTGCATTTATAAAATAATATGCTTTGCCTTTGGTAATTGGAAATTTTATTTACCTTGACTCTGATTTGGGCTGACTATCTTCTTATTAATTAGATACATTTTTATCAACTTGCAGTACTTAATTCCATCAGCTACTTCATATTCTTATAGTTTTTTTTAAGTTGATCATGAGATTTATATAGCATAGATTGTCGTTGAACTTAATTCTCCCGGATGATTTTTCGAAACTAACTACAACATTCAGCAGCAGTTTTTTTGAATCCAAAACGTTTAGCATGTTTTGATACGAGATTTCGATCCTTGGCTGAAGCTTTTCCAAAGAATCTCAGTCTTTCCCTTTTTTTTCTCTTTGGCTTGGAGAACATGTGATTTCTGTACTTTTTCTTGGTTTGTGTCTGACTTGGAGTGCAATCAAATCAAGGCACTGTTTCAACCAAAACGGTCCGAAACAGTACCGTTTCGCTTGAAACAGTGGAATTTTGGGATTCCCCCGTTTCATGTCGGGTGTTGAAAATCCAAATTGCTTTAGACTGTTTCGACGCGAGATTTCGATCCTTGAGTCCAACCAGTATTTACCCCCTCAAACATTGACAGAAAATACAGTGTTTACGTACTCAAACATTTTGACAGAAAATAGATGGAACACAGGCGCTAATCCTGCAAAACTTCTGTGTCTCTCTGTCTTTTTGTTTTTCCGTTTATTGTGGGTTGTTAAAGGCTAAAGAATGAGCCATTATAGAACAATCGGATGAGAATTATCTTGTTGCCTTCAACAGGCGAACTTGTTATTTTCTTGTTGTTTGTAATTGCAAAAGATTTTCTGAAACATATTCATCAGTTCCAGTCTGTTGGGCAGGGTTTACAGTCTTGCCAGGAAATACATCGGCACACAACACTTAAACATTTAGAAGAAAGCAGGCTGACTTTGATTGAAAAAGTAAACCAACACCAGAAGATCAATGGGAGAAGACTTGATGTGATTGAAGAGTTGAATGCAAGTTTTGGTGATGGTAAAACTGCTTTTACTTGGTATTTCATTGATACAATGGAGAAAAAGGTCGAACACAGAGCAAGGAACAGAATTTCTAGTGTTCTTATTAACTACATTCCTAGTTTATTCAAACCATGGAACTGGCATAAAACTGCAAAGATCGCCATAGCGTTTATTTTGGTTTCAGCAAGCATATCGTCTGGAATTAACTTCACACATAATAGGAAAGAAAATAACAAGTCCCTAAGAGAAATTCGTTCTTCTGTTGATTCCACAACCGCGAGAAAACAGTACCTTTTACTTTCTAAGTCAAGCAGAACTTTAGATGTCTGCAATGGAAGGGGATGATTTCTGTACTCCTAAAAAATTTACACATTCTTTTTTCTGCCAAAGCACGTTTTAATTTTCTATGACGAGTATGTTATGAAAGTAAACAATGACAATAAAGTGAAATTAAATCAAAGAACAATAAGAATACAATCCAGACAATTACAAAATACAGAATTTACGTGATTCCACAATTTGTCTACATCCACGAAACTGCAGGGATTTCATTATTCTCAAGAACGAATACAGAGAGGGCAGCGGCCGTATAGAATCAATTCACACAACCCTAATTACCGAATAATCAGTTTATATATGTCTTATCGGCCCCAGCTTCCGTTACATGGACTAAGCCTCAAAAAATTTTTATTAAAAAACCACGCAACATTATTTGGGTTGGGTCAACATCCGGATCGCACACAAACTAGACTCCACAAGAAGAAACCCAATAAAGTAGACATTCCCTTGCGATTTTGTTTGCGATACAAAAAAATGTGATGTTAAGAAGTAGAAAAATGGAGGAAGTTGCAAGATGTTGCTCTGTTTCGTGAATTATTATGTTCTTTTCTATGACAGAAATGGATATGTACCCTGCCAGAGCTGCTATACATTCGAAACTTGTTGATCCGAATAAGTTTAGTTTTAACATAGTCGAGAAACAATGGAGGAGCAATTCTGCATTGCAAGGTCCACTACATTGTATGCAAGCAAATCAGAAGTAATCTAGAAACCTAAAAAACTGACAATATGAGATGCCATCAACAGAGAAATGCTGAATGTATGCTATGTTTAGCTAAACTATGCTTGATATTTTTTATTATGACATGCAAAATACAACTTGTAAGAATAAAATTTAAGTTTTTAAAAATTTTATTGAATTTTCATTTTAATTTGTGAATTTCAATTGCAAATTTTTTGGTCCTAGTGTGTATATTCAACAATAATAATTAGTGACTTTAAAATTGGTTTTATGGCTATTCAAGGCTAAACAATAAAAACCATTGAAAAGTCGGCACGTGCCAAACAGCTAAAAAAAAATTGAATAGTATCATGTGTACGTTACACACACAATAGCTATATAAAATGACTGCTGAGATAGCTTTTGGTAACAACGAAAATCCACTTCAAAATCTTCCAATAGCTTATTATACTTGGCATACTTTTCAATTATCATTTATTATTTTATTTTTGGGTAACTCGATTTGAGTCAGATTTACTTCAACCTTCCAGTGGATGTGATGCTGCAAGTGTCTGGGTTGAATTTTGGAGTCGCTGGTGTCCGTCAGTACCCTCACGTGGGGAGGCTCAACTGTTTTATGACAGTGATCACACGCCTCTCAGACTCGCAGACCAATTTTTTCCAAATTAATTTATTTGGTTTATATAGATTGCATGTTTATACATTTTCTATATTTATTTAAATTGCATGTTATATTTTTAATGATCTAACTACTTTTTGCATGCTTTATTTCGAATTTTAGATTATAAGTCTCATACTTATTTTGCTCACATTATAATTCTAATAATTGTTGATTTGGCCAAAAAAATTCAGTAGCAATTTTTCTTAATAACAATTATAAATCTATGTTTAAAATCTATAATTATTTCTACATTCTGAAGCAGCTGAGTTTTTGTTGTTGAAAAAAAAAAGTTTTTTTTTTATGGAAACAAAAATAGTAAAGTTTTCTGGGAAAAAAAGCTGTTACTGTTTTTCGGAAAAAAAAACAGTTTTCGGGCAAAAAAAAAAAACTGTTACTGTTTTTCTGAAAGGGAAAAAAAACTGTTTCTGTTTTTCGGAAAAGAAAAAAACCAGTTTTCTGAATTCCTCTGGAAAAAAAAACAGTTTTCTGGAAAACAGTTTTTCTGAAAAAAAAAACAGTTTCTGAATACTTCTGAGAAAAAAAACCAGTAAAAGTTTCCTTCAAAATATCAAACAGATTTTTTGGTAAAAAAAAACAAAAACAGTTTCAAAAGGTATTACTGAAGTTGTGTACTTAATTTTTTTTCTTAATTTCATTACAAACTAAAAGACTAAATTATTTGCATATCTCTTACTATTTCTTTACTAGAACTAAAGATGACTATAGGGTGTCAAAGAGATTTAAGAGCCCAAATCAATATACTAGTGGTAGAAGATAATTCTATCAAACCCATCTTTAGGAATAATAATTCATTAGTTAATTTTACTTATCAAAATAAAGATTGGTGGTTAGATTCAGGAGCTAATATACATGCTTGTTTTGATCGTGACATGTTTAAAACCTATCAAAAATCAAATGGAGGTATTGCAACCCTAGACAATGATTCTATCGCACAAGTACTTGAAATTGGAGACATATAATTAAAAATGACATCTGGGAAGACATTGATTTTGAAAGGAGTGCGACATGTTCCTGAAGTTAAAAAAAATTTAGTCAGTAGATCGTCCTTAGTCCAATAAGGTTATAAGGTTGTAATGGAGTCAAATAAAGTTGTGATAACTAGGAATAATATATTTGTTGGCAAATGATATGTTTGTGATAGTTTATTTAAATTAAATATACTTTCAGAAGTTAATGAAATTTCTCATCAAGTTTTCAATGTTTAATCTTGCAATGTATGGCATGGAAGATTAGGACGCATAAGTCTAAAGACAATCAAAAGGATGATGGATCTCAATCTTATTCCCAAATCTCATGTAAATTTCAAACATAAGTGTAAAATTTGTGTATAAGCCAAACAAACTAGAAAATCTCATAAAAGTGTAGAAAGGAATACCCAACTTCTAAAATTTATATATAGTGATGTATGTGATTCTAGTAGACCGCTAACAAGAGTCGAAAATAAATATTTTGTGACTTTTATAAATGATTGTTCTAAAAATTGTTATATTTATCTTATCAAGAACAAAGATAAAGTATTTAATAAATTTAAGATATAAAAAATTGAGGTTGAAAATCAATTAGAGAGAAAAGTGAAAAGACTAAGGTCCGATAAAGGTAGTGAATATACTCTAACTGACTTTAGTACATTTTGTGAAGAACATGGAATAATACATGAAGTGACTCCTCCTTATTCTCCTCAATCAAATGGAGTAGTTGAAATAAAGAATAGAACCTTAATGAATATGGTAAATCCAATGTTGACTAATTCCAGCTTATCTGATAATTTATGGGGAGAATCTATACTTAGTGCTTGTTTTATCTTGAATAGAGTATATGTTAAAGATTATGAGAAAACTCCATATGAGATATGGAAGATAAGAGTTCCTAACCTTAGTATCATGAAAAATGTGAGGGTGTTTAACTAAGGTAGTTATTCCCGAACCAAAGAAAAAGAAAATAGGTCTTAAGACCGTAGACACTGTCTTTATCGAATATGTCCAAAATAGTAGTGCTAATAGATTCTTAGTTATTAACCTAGAAATTAGTGAAATTTCAAATAATACTATAATTGAATCTAGAGATGTTACAGTTTTTGAAGATATTTTTCCTTTTAAAAATACAATGTCTAGTCATGTAAGTGAAACACCTTCAACTAGTGATCAATCTTCTACTAGTTCTATTGTTCCCATAGAGAAAAATATAGAACAACATGTAGAGCTAAGGAGAAGTAAAAAACTAAGAATAAAGAAGGACTTAAGAGAAGGATTTTTTACTTTTCTAGTAGAAGGAGAGCCAACGACATATAAAGAAGTATTGTCCTCTATAGATGCACCTTTTTGGAAATAGGCTATTAATGGTGAAATTGAATCTGTATTGCTTAATAATACTTGGGAGATAGTAGAATTGCCTCCTGAAAGCAAAGCTATTGGGTGTAAGTGGGTATTTAAGAAGAAACTAAAACCTGATTGGAGTATATTAAATATAAAGCTAGATTGGTGGTTAAAGGATTTACTCAAAAGAAAGGTGTAAGGGGTAGAAATCGCTACGGATCTCATCCCTCCACTTGAAGGATTCCGGCTGACCTGGCGGCACCGAGCCCCAGTAGCCTTTACCTCTCTTCGCCAATAGGACCCTTTCCTAAGGTAATCCCACATCGGAAGAGAGTCGTCTTCCCCCCTGCCATATAAGTGAACACTTCCTATGGAGGAGGTACCCACTAGGCACCTAATCAGGTCGCTAGTGGGTACCTCCTCCATAGGAAGTGTTCACTTATATGACAGGGGGGAAGACGATTCTCTTCCGATGTGGGATTGCCTTAGAAAAGGGTCCTATTGGCGAAGAGAGGTAAAGGCTACTGGGGCTCGGTGCCGCCAGGTCAGCCGGAATCCTTCAAGTGGAGGGATGAGATCCGTAGCGATTTCTACCCCTTACAAAAGGGATAGATTATTTTGATACATATTCGCCTATGACTAGTATTACTATCATTAGAATACTAGTAGCTCTAGCATCTATCCATAGTTTAGTAATACATTATGGAACTATATATGGAACAATCTGAGAGGTTTATGGTGAAAGGACAAGAACATAAGGTTTGTAAGTTAGTGAAGTCTTTATATGACCTTAAACAAGCTCCCAAACAATGACATGGGAAGTTTGATAAATTAATTCTAGAGTATGGTTTTCAAATTAATGAAAGTGACAAATGTTTATACTATAAGGATTGTGATGTTGGTTATGTAATTTTATGTCTTTATGTAGATGATATACTAATTTTTGGGACAAACTTGGAGGTCGTTAATGATGTTAAATATTATTTATCTATTAAGTTTGATATGAAAGATTTGAGAGAAGCCTAGTCTTGGGAATGAAAATAGAGAAAACATCTAATGAAATTTCTCTAAGTCAGTCTAGCACCATAGAGAAAATATTGAAAAAGTTTGATTTTTATGATAGTAAGTCTGTATTAACACCATATGATCCTCATGTACATTTGAAGAAAAATAAAGGAGAACCGATTTCACAATTAAAGTACTCACAAATAATTGAATCTTTGTTATACATAGCAAATAAATCTAGACTTGATATCTCGTATGTCGTAAGAAGACCAAGTAGATATACACATAGTCCTAGTAAAAAGCATTGTGTTGGCTTAGAGAGAGTCTTTAAGTATCTTAAAGGAACCTTAGGCTACTCTTTATGTTATAGTGGATTTTCTAGTGTAGTTGAGGGCTTTAGTGATGCAAATTGGAACACTGATAGTTTAGATATAAAATCTATTACTGTCTATGTCTTTTTGTTAGGAGGGGCAGCCATATCTTGGAGATCTAAAAAACAAACCCTAATATTAAGAAGTACTATGGAGTCAGAACTTATAGCCTTTGATACCTCATGTGCTGAAGCTGAGTGAATAAAGAATTTATTACTAGAGATACCTCTAGTGGAAAAACTCATACCTGCCATTTCATTACACTATGATAGTAAGGCAGTGATTGAGCTTGTGAAACAAAATCATAATAATAAAAAGATGAATAGACATATACAAGTGAGATTTAAATCAATAAAGAAAATACTGAGTAAAAGCATAATCTCACTAGACTTTGTGAAGTTTGAGCTTAATATAGCTGATCAGCTAATTGAAGAGCTTTCAAGGAAACCTATTGCATAACTGTCGAGGGGGATGAGCTTAAGCCCATAAGGTAGTCACTTAGGGAGGTAACCCAACTTCTGTGATTGGGGACCCCATGAAGGAAGTTCAATGGATAAAAATAATTCATATTGCGTGACTCATTAGCACTGTTATTCAGAAAATACCCAAAAAGAGATATTTTTCCTATTCATCCTTATGGTAGAAGTGTATATGTAGTGTGACGGTAAGAAAGAGTTTTACTTTGAATGAGACCAAGGCAAGAACACTCCGACAGGGTATTATGCACATGTACCCTTAGAGGGCTCACCTAAGTGAGAGTAGTCGTGAGGCCACGACTATCAGAATTGGGCTATTCTCTAGAAACTCTCATAGGAATCAAGATCAAGTGAATGACCATTAATATCACTGACTCGCGAATCTTGACCAAAATCGGTACTGTGTGTATGACATGTTAAACTCTGGTTCAAAGGATCTAGTTCAAGTCTTTAGTCACTATGATCCTTCAAAGGAAAACTATTAACACTAAGTGAGGTTTAATTCTGAAAGACACCTACACCTATTACACAGTATAATAGTTGCTCATATTTTCTATATTAAAGTATATATAAAATATTTGAAATATTTTGAAGTTTAAAAAATTTGTGGGGGATTGTAAGAATAAAATTAAGTTTTTAAAACTTTTATTGAATTTCCATTTTAATTTGTGAATTTCAGTTGCAAATTTTTTGGTCCTATTTAGTGTGTATATTCAAGAATAATAATTTGTGACCTTAAAATTGGTTTTATGGCTATTCAAGACTAGACAATAAAAACCATTGAAAAGTCATCATGTGCCAAACGGCTGAAAAAAAATTGAATAGTATCATGTGTACATTACACACACAATGGCTAAATAAGTGGTTGTTGAGATAGCTTTTGGTAACAACGAAAATTCACTTCAAAATCTTCCAATAGCTTATTATCTTGGCATACTTTTTAATTATCATCTATTATTTTATTTTTGGACAACTCGATTCGAGTCAGGTTCACTTCAACCTTCCAGTGGACATGACCATTGAAAAATGTTGTTGGGAGTGTCTAGGTTGGATTTTGGAGTCGCTGGTGTCCGTCAATACCTTCACGTGGGGAGGTTCAACTGTTTTAGGACAGCGATCACATGCCTCTCGGACTCGCAGGTCAACTCTTTCCAAATTAATTTATTTGGTTTATATAGATTACACGTTTATACATTTTTTGTATTTATTTAAATTACATGTTATATTTTTAATGATCTAACTATTGTTTATATAGAATGCATTGAGGAAGTTGCAAGATGTTGCTTTGTTTCATAAATTATTATGTTTTTTTCTATGACAGAAATGGATATGTGCCCTGCCAGAGCTGCTATACATTCGAAACTTGTTGATGCGAATAAGTTTAATTTTAACATAGTCGAGAAAGAGAAAAAAGAAACAATGGAGGAACAATTCTGCATTACAAATTGTGTTTAATAGGTTCATATATAATCACTTCCATATAGAAAGTGGGTTTTATTTTATTTTTTTATTAAATGGTTAAATCAGTATTGACGTGTATAACCGTTAGACTCAATATTTAATCCGGATTTTGGAACTTGCTCCATGATGTTTGGCGCCTTTAGTACCACGCCAAGAATCACACACCATCCTCTTCTCCATACAAGAACGAAAATTTTTTAGAGAAAGCGCGCATCACCGAATAGCAGAGAGAGAGAAAGGAACACGCAGAGATGAAATGGTGGGGAATTCAGGCAAGGTCTTCGTTCATGGCTTAGTTCTGCTGCATCAACAATTAAATTTGTCGGAAACGTAGCGTCGGTATCGGAGACGATTATGTTGGAACAAACCGGAGAAGCGAAGTCATCTCCTAAAAAACCCTAGCGGATGTCAATTTGGGATTTGGTGAGAGATCCGTCGCTGCCGCCGGTGCCGCTGTTCTGTCTGCGATCCTCGTTAACCCTCTCGACGTTGCCAAGGTAGTTTAATTTTCTTAATTTACTTTTATATTTAATTCGTTAGCTCCATTTTTTTCTATCTTTCAAGGATTCTTAGTGTTCATGTGCAATTGGAATCACTCCTATTGTTTACTAAGCTTGATTTCCTGTTGTTCTATGCGATTTTTTTTTTTTCTGAATTTTATCATGTTTTTATGTGCTTCTATTGGTATTTGATCGGAGTTCTTTGATGAAACCTCATTAGATTCAAGTTAAACTTGCGCTAAAGAGATTTCCATGACGTTGTCATAGCATGTAGTTGCTTCATATTTGTTTTAGAATTGCTTCTTTTGACCGTTGCCTTATTGGTTGATTTTCCCGACTAGGTTGCAATTACAGGCCGTTGGTGTCCCCCATCACGACAGTCTTTGTCGTATGGCATGTTTTGAAACAAACACGGTATGCCTACATCCATTGGCTCTTGATTGATTTTAACTTGAATACTGGAATACTGGAATACTGTGAAAGAGCTCAGATTACTACCTATGTTTCATTAATTTGCTAATTTTCGTTCAAAGAAAGAAAAGAGGTTTGGTGATGTTTAGTTGTACAGACAAACAAAAAGAGCTCTTTGTTGGCTCTGTAATTTAGTATATTTTTATTGTTGCTGTAGAAATACCTGCGAGAAAGGTGTTCCTTTGTAAACTTCTTCTTTTCTTCCTTTTCTCTTTTCTTCTTTAATTTTTTTTTCATTATCAGATTTTTGCCTCTTCTGTAGCTAACATATATTGGACTTGGAACTTGAGTTCTGTGAGAAACTGTCATCGTTCTACTTTGATAGTTATCAATTATGTTGAACTTGCATGCTATTTAAGAGCTTGATGCTGTTTAAAGTCTTTTTGAAATCTGCATGATATGCTTACAATGTCCTGTTCTGAGTCTTACAATAAATCGTGTATGGGGAATCTTTTTATAGATGTTTGCAGATATGAGATGTTCTCCATCATGCACTCATGCAGCTCCTGGTGCTGAATCAGCATGTTTGGCAGATTGCTCCCAATATAAAGGAACATTGGATGTCTTTTACAAAGTCATACGTGAGGTTGGTCGATCCTTTACGTCAGACAAAATGACAATGAAACCCATACACAACTATGTATTATCTGTATTAAGCTGTCTAGTATATCGACATGAACAAGTGCTTAATATATGTGTAAATGCATGATGTCTACCAGGTTATTATGATGTTTTCCTTTATTTTATAAAACATTGGGGACACTCTTTCAATAACTTGCAAATCTGTCTTCGTATTGATGTCACTGAGTAGCCTTATTAGCTGAATTGTCACATATATTGTAAGATAAAAACAAAAACAAGAAGACAAAGAAAGGTAATCAAACATTCTCAGGTGTTTAACTGGAGTGGGATTGTGCAGGAAGGAATTGCAAGATTGTGGAGAGGCACAAATGCAAGCTTGGCGTTGGCCATACCTTCCGTAAGTCTCTCTCTTTCATGTATACAATTCTTTTACAGTAAAGGCCACATATGGTGGGTGCATGTGAGATTTGATTTCTGACCTTGTTGATGGGATATTATTGGTCATTATTCAAAATACTCCCAACCAGGTGGGGATCTATTTGCCTTGTTATGACATTTGTCGCAATCGTATGGAAGAATTTATGTCGAAGAATGCTCCAAACATGACCCCGTACGTCCCCTTAGTTGCCGGATCCTTGGCACGCTCAATAGCTTGTATCACATGTTATCCTGTTGAGCTTGCAAGAACTCGTATGCAGGTATTACATGCTATATTGATGTTTTCATATGACATGTACTTTCCCCTACATAGATGACTATGATCAAATCCAGAACTCAAGTTTTCATGGTATTGAATGTTGATAATATGACACCCGGATATTGTTTCAAAATTATGTAATATGTCTCTTGTTAAGTTAAAGTAGTACCTGGATAATGTCACCCAGCCAAGAGTATGATGTAGGCAGACTGGTTGATTTTTGGACAAATGTACAATTTTCACAATGATATGGAAGTAATAGGAAATGCTATATATAAACTATTGAGAATAATTAGCCAGCTATGAAATTTGACAGGCATATTACTCTTTAAAAAAAAAAACAAGGCAGCAATTCTCAAATTTTATCTTTTTATTTTCTAAATTATATTTTTACAATAATTTTTTTGGGATTCTATGTGTTGGCTGACTCCTTTTGGGCATCGAATAATGATTCTTATGTTTATGAGGTTTTTCACTTCCTCTACCTACCTTACGGAATAAACATTGTTGGAAAATCAGTTTTTTGCTAAAATTTCCCTCTGAATTTGATCTTTTATGTATAGGCGTTTAAAGAGACCCGGAATGGTTTGAAGCCTCCAGGAGTGTGGAAGACGTTGGTTGGAGTCATCTCCCCTGTCAGGAGCAAAAAACATATCCAAAGCTGTAAGCTTATGCATGGATGTGCATGGCCTAACTTACTGCGATACTCCTACGTGAATAAACTGTAAGTTTATAACAGCAACACGAAGCTATCGGATCTTATGGACTGGCCTTGGAGCACAGCTTGCTCGCGACGTTCCTTTCTCTGCAATCTGCTGGTCAACCCTTGAGCCAGTAAGTGTTCACTCTGTGAAGCAGCTCAGGAATAAGTTCTGGCTTCCTCATATACTATTGATACACCATTATACAATGCGATGAAAGTGTCTTTTGCTTCTTTTGTGCAGGTCAGGAGAAAAATCTTAGGTCTGGTGGCTGATGAAGCAAGCATAGCCAGTATCCTGGGGGCCAACTTTTCTGCTGGTTTTGTTGCAAGAAGCGTTGCAGCTGCTGCTACATGTCCTCTAGACGTTGCAAGGACCAGGCGGCAGATAGAGGTTATTTCTCTACATTGCTCATCTGTACAGTGTGAAGTTAACAATATAGACCATCGGCAGATAAAAAGAATGGAAAATTGCAGCCACACCTCCTGTAGATTGCCATTTCTCTAGGGACAACCCTGGTGTTATCTGACATGTCATGTATACCCTTTTCTAGGTTATATCATATCTGTTTTAGGCAGTACCCTTGCCGTGAGCGACTGTTACTGACAGGCCAAAAGTGCGGATGTCATTCAAAATTCTTTTTTGCAATACCAATAATACCCTTCACCACTCTTATTCTGTCTTACACACCCAATCACACCCAATCCTCTCTCATACAATCACTCTCATACAGTCCCACACAGATGCAACTTGCAACCATTGAAGCCAGAGATGGCTGCTGATCTTCATTCTCTTCCTCCTTCTATATTTCTCTTTCTCTCTACATCAAACAATCATTGATGCCAGAGTGCCCTCTTGGCTTTGACAGAAACGAGTAGGATTATCCTTTCAAGTTAGAGTGTTGGAGTCGTGCCGAGTAGGATTATCCTTACGCACATCATTCATCCCATAGAATTACCAAAACTAATTCTTTACCTTTTTCATTTTCACGTCCTGATTCACCACCCGCAAGCTTTCTTAATTCATCCTTGAGACAAAATGTTGTGGACCGCACACAGTAATTACCGTACCAGTGGCCCACACCCACTTCACTTCAAATCCACCCAACATCCACAGAGCTTCAACACAACTAAATATACCAGAATGAATGTCATCTGGATTGATCGCAGGATGCCACGGCTTAGAATGCTGTTCGGAGTCAACTTTCCAACAAAAGGATAACACACAAACAGTCCTCTCTCTCTCTCACACACACATATAACTCCATACAGACCAGATGCACACTTGCACAGAGACTTTGAAGATCTCTCAGAGGTTTCTTCGTTTCTCTTTGTCTCTCTCTCAGTGGAATATTGTTGTGTGTGGGTGGTGCTGGCAGTTGGATGGGAGTGGGGGTAACTGGTGGTTGTTGTGGTGTGTGTGTGAGGATATATATGTATATATGATATATGACTCAGGGTAATGCATTAGTACACATGTATTTATGGGAAAATATATATAATAGTCGTTTTTGTTCCCTCCATTAACAGATAAATACTGACATAGTGTTTTGGATCATGGAAGGGGTGCCCCTAAATTTATGACAATTTATTTGCGGTGTGGCTGAAATGGTTTCCAAAAATTGATGCAAATAATAGTAATACTAAGGTCGGATTACAAGAATGATTGTGTGATACAATATTGTGGAATTTTGTCAAGTTGGATAAAATGGTGAAGAGATGAGAATAGGAGAAAGCTGCGTAGTTGTTATGTGGTAATATACCCATTCCAACAAGGAATACATAAGTGGGTTCTAAGAGCTCCAATGAGTGGCTGTCTTGTTTGTTCATCTTGGTGCATATGAATGTATCTACATGCCAACTTGTATGCCACATGTAGGGGAAATATCCAGTAGATGGAATTTTATAGAATTATAGATTGCATTTGCATAACCATGATCACTTAGATATTAAATTTCTTCTGTGGAAAATTCAAGTTTCCAAATTTAAAAATAGTAAAAGTAGTTTCTTGAAGATTACAATGAAATTAAACTCTTTGTTGACCACACCAATTTCATTTGTTTGACTTCAAAAGCTATGCAAGTGACGGAGTCTCATAAGTAACCTTCTTGGAGGAGAACATAATATGCGGGATGGGGTTTTCATTCTATCACCTTGTTTGTTCATAGGTCTATAAGCATTGATATTGATTTCCTTGAATGCATGTTTGCTTGCTTATGTTATTCCATTCCTCTTTCTGCAACTTCCTGTATAATTTGTTGCCTGCAGCTCTCACACATTATTGGTTGGTTGCTTCCATCTTTTGTTTTTTAGTTATGTAGTGTTAATTTTGAATTTTTAGAAGGATCCGGCCCGAGCATTGAACATGACGACAAGACAAACAGTAGTTGACATCTGGTGGTATGTATCAATTCTCTGCTTATTTTCTGCATTCTTTTTTATATGTTACCACTTCAATCTGTTTAAATATTTTGGTCAGATGTTTGAGATGTGTATTGGGTTGTCATTTAATGAAAATGGGATCACTTCTATACCAAGATCTACTCTACAACCAATCCATCACATAAAAAATGGCAGTGCTAGGATTTATCGACATATAGAGCACCAGGTATAGTTTTGGTGCATTCTCTGAAGTTAAAATTGTAAAAGTGCCCCATGAGCCAACCTTTTGGTACACCACATCTGAGATATAGAAATGCCATGTACAAAATTACTTGCTGCAGGGGTGTCGTCTTTAGCATGTAGCAATGAATGAAATTGCATCCTGCAATCATTATCTCACGGTTGATGTTGAGTACTCTCGTAGAACACCATATAAAATGTTTAAAAAGGATCCATATTAAATGTACTTGCCATATTTGGCATTCAGCCTTCTTGGTAACTATAGCATAGCTGGTTTATATCCTACACTTGTACAATATAGCCTACCTTTGTTGAGTTGCAGGACTCACAGCTACTCTCATTCTGATAGTCAACCCGTTAGTTGATTTGTATAACTTGCAAAAATAATTAGGGTTAATTTACATAGAACTATAGAAGCCCTTTAAACATGGGGTCAGTACCACATCACCACCGTCGACTATTACGGATTTCACTAAACTCCTATTTAGGAATAAAGTGCAAATATAACGGAATCTGTGAATCTTGATGTTGATCGAGTTACACACATCAAATAAAGCGATTGAGATATAAATGGGAAGATTATTTGTCTTGAAAAAGACAATTTTACCTATGTTTAAATTTATTCAAAAAAAGAATGATAAAAATAAAGAAAAAAAGCTGGTAAAAACCCCTAGGTGCCATGGTTTCTCCACTGCAACCCCTCCCTTTCTCTGCGATCTCTCTCTCAACGACCGTTGTCTCTTCCAGTGTTATTTAAGGTGTAAAGTGAACCGAAGCGACCAAAACTCCTAATGCGAGAAGCGAAGCGAACAGTTAAAAAAATATATATTTTAGTTTAATTACTTATAAACATCTAAGTTCTAATTTTATATATACTAAATATTTAAATGTAAGTAAAATCATAAACATTTAAATTAAAATAAACACTAATAATATCTCAAATCTTTATAACAGTTATAGCTTAAACATTTAAATTTAAACAAATACTAAAAATATCCTAAATCCTAAAATTTAAAAACATAAGACACACAATTCAAGCAACTAAAGATATCAGACATCACCAGAAGCAACATTCATCATTAAGCAACAGAAGCAGAAAAAAAAAAATTATAGCACTATCAGATATCAGATATCAGACATCAGCAAAAGCAGGAAGAAAAAAAAAATAGAAGCAACAGAAACAAAAGAGAGAAGAAGAACCAGAATCAGAAGCAGAAAAATAGAAGAGAACCAAAAGAATAGAAGATGGGAGAGGAAGGAGCACAGTTGATGGGAGAGAAAGGAGCTACAGTCGATCGTCTAATCTGATCCTGAGCAAAATTAGGGTTTGAGTTTTATATTTATGGGATAAGGGGGTAAATGAGTGTATGGGCATCTTATAATTTTTTTTCCCAATTGCCCAAATCTAACGGTCCACAATAAAAATAAAACAATCAAACGGTCCACAATAAAAATAAAATACAAGCTCACCTTGCATAATTAAGGCGCTCGCTTTTCTCACTTTTCCCTCATTTCAGTCACATTCGCTTCTCATGGGGTGTTCAAGGCGAGAAGACCTCGCTTCGCCTCGCTTCTCGCCTAGGCGAGCTTTTCAAAACACTGGTCTCTTCTCTTTATTTCGCATTCTGAGAAATTCATTTGATGATCGAGAAAATTAAGGAGATCTGCTAGCTCCCCTTGGTGGTGCCCTTCAAGTTATCATTTAGATGTTTGTATTTTTGAGACCAAACCCATCATTCTACCAGGCAGCTAATGACATTATGAGGCTATTCCTTAAAGTTTTTGCTACTTGTAACTCCACATTTCATGAGTTCATATCGTGTATTTCCTTCTTGTACGAGTAGACATGAGTTTGTGAGATCTCCATTCGAGTGGTTCGCGCCATCTCCAAGTTTTCCTTTTTCTGGTTTTGCGTGAAACTCTACCTTGAAGATACATGATCCATCATTCCTCTAACCTGTTTTAGCTCCTGGGATCTATTGGAAAATGAGCTGCCATCCAAATGCCTTGGCCCAATAACAATGGTTCATTAAATTTTAGGGTTATTTACACAATACATCCTTCAGGTTTGGGTCATGTTGCAATTAGCTCCCTATAATTACATTAATTACCCAATTACCAGTACACCCACCATAAAAAAATTGATAGAAGTTGACCCAATTCAATTAAAAAGACATATTTACCATTTAATCTATCAGCCTTAGAAAAACAAAAATTGAAAAAATATCTCACCCCACCCCATCCCACCAAAACCTTCAGTAGCAGACCCCGTCCACACACTAGTAGCCCCCGCAACCCCGTCATCTACTAACACTTATCCACCCCTCCCTCGCCATCAACCCTAACCACCCAACACACTGTAACCCAGCACACCCTTTCCCTAAGAAAGCAACACCAGCCCTTCCTCCCTGCAATGGTGATAGGGCTGGATATTGGTTGAAACTCATCCACCTCCTCCCTGCAACGGTGACAGATTTAGGGTTGTTGCTGTCTGGGGACATGGGGGTGGCATTGTTGGGTTTATCTATGATGCATCAATGCCGGTTAAGGTTGAATGAATCTATCAATTTTTTTTGTTGAATTTGAATGATTTTGTTTTCAAATATTGGTCTAGGTTGAATTGATTTAGGATTTAGAATCATGTTTGGAGTGGGTTATGGGAGTACGTGTTTGGTGAAGGCTATGGTGGTGGCGTAGGTGATGACTGGCGCAGTGGTGTTGACAGTGAATGAGGATATGTGGACACTATGACAACTTCTGGTATAGATAAGAGGGAAAGAAAAAATAATAGATATTATAATTGAACGGGTATTTTGGGACTTTTGTATTTTTCATTCATTTAATCAGTTAATGTAGTTCATTGAAAACTTGAAGGGGGCAAATTGTTTGAATTGAAATTGGAGGAAGTCGATTGCAATATGACCCAAATTTGGAGGGGGTATTTTGTAATTAACCCTAAATTTTATATAGATTCTGCAGCCTTGAGATATGAACTCCAAGCGGAAAAAGTGTTGTTTGAAACATGGATTTTGCGAAGCTGCATTTAATCTGGCTTGTAAAATTTCAATATCAGATGTTTAATACATAGTTTATGAAGTATGAGTGTGCCTTGGCTGTAGGTTTTTGGCATCACAAAGAAAATTGAAAAAAAAATAGAGGACAGTTTAGTCCTTTTGTACAATCTGTTACCTTTGTTAGGATTTGCACTTTTTTGACTAGTGCAAGGGGTTTAGTGAAACCCATAAGTTCAGGGAGGTTTTGTATAATTAACCCATATAATTATTATTATTTTATCAATGACTTATCTTTGGGTGAATGAGTTCTTCATTGAACCTAACTAGGAAGAATAAATATGCTATAAATAAAATCACTCCATCCTATTCTAGATAGAACATGGTGGCATAGATTCGTTGCAACAACAATATACTACCAAGTGAAATGGGGATCCCATCAGGAAAGGTGTTCAACTGGCCCATGTGAATGCCAAGTCAATATCTGAACTGAAAGTGGCATATTTGAAGTCATAGGTAACTTGGACACCCCAAATGGGGTAAGATGGTCTGTCACTTATCTTTTCCATACCCAAGACCTGCTAGAGGCTATGTCTTTGTACACTGGGAACGGTCTTTGTATTTAACCTGGGCACTTAAAATGGTAAAAACTCATTGTAAATGCCTTATAAATAAATCAATGACCACATTGGTATCATATCGTAGCATAGTATGTCCAACCCTTTTGTATTCAATATAAGGCTGTAATTGGATGGTTACGTTAATAGTTGGGGTCATGCAGAAGTTTTTGCTTGTATTAGCATGCTCTGTGTGTGTGAATAAACTTTTAGCTTGTCCCAACTCTTTTGGTGGTGAAGCAGGGATGGAGGCATAAAGGGACTGTTTACAGGAGTCGGTCTCCGTGTTGCTCGTGCTGGCCCTTCAGTTGGAATTGTAGTTTCATTTTATGAAGCTGTCAAATACACACTGTATAGGAGACATCTGAGCCAGTGATAGATAAACTTTACATCATGGTTCAAGCCGAGAGTTTGGCAAGAGATGTGGTCCTCCCACCAAGATTCGTGTTCCCGGCAATCTGGGGCAATAACTTTGACAAAATTTTTACACCAGTCTGTAGGTTCAGAGGCATCAGAATAATGTCTTAGCAGAGTAAGTCCCTATCTCAAAGCCCGACTACCCATGATGTTGCTTACATCTTCAGCCACCCTTATAACCAACTTTGTTTTGGCAGCTTGACAATGTAGGTAAGCTTTTGTAAATGTTAGAGCATTTAATCTTGTGCAAAAGCAGTTCTTGGTACACATTAGCTGTACATCTGTTGTTGAGATGTAAAAATTTAAAGTTTGTGCATATGCAATAGCAGTTCTTGTCACATTGCCGTGTATCTATTGTTGATATGTAATCATTCAAAGTTGTTTTGTGTATATCTTGTAGTTTTTGGGAAAAAATATATGTCAATCATATATTCAATTATTTGAATACAATGACGTGGTTGTATAGTCCTCCGTCTTTAACTATTGATGCCATGGTTACAAGAAGGACGTGATGTTAAGAATGAGTTAAAATTATACGTTCTTGTCTGTTTTGATAAATACTGAAAAATAGACAAATTAAGTCCATTAGGACTGGCCTGGTAGCCCACTAAAGGCCCATTATGATTGGCCCAATAGACCACTTCAAGTCCATTAGAATTGGCCCAGTAGCCCACAAGGCCCATTAGGATTGGCTCAGTAGCCCACTAAGGGCCCATTAGGATTTGACCCAATAGCCTACTAAAAGGCCCATTAGGTTTGGTCCAATAGCCCTAAAGGCCCATTAGGCCTGGCCCAAATAGCCCCACTAAAGGTCCTCAGGACTGGCCCAATATCCACTTCAGGCCCATTAGATTGGCCCAGTAGTCCACTAAAGGTCCATTTGGACTGGCCCAGGAGCCCACTAAAGGTCCAGTTGGACTGGCCCAGGAGCCCACTAAAGGTCCAGTTGGACTGGCCCAGGAGCCCACTAAGGCCCATTAGAATTTAGCCCCAGTAGCCTACTAAAGGCCCATTAGGCCTGGCCTGGTAGCCCACTAAAGGCCCATTTGGACTGGCCCAGGAGCCCACTAAAGGCCCAATAGAACTGGCCTGGTAGCCCACAAAGGCCCATCGAAACTGGCCAACAGACATGCATGGGCCATACCATGTTGGGTGGCTTAGCCTGGCCACCTTGTTGGCCTATCAACAACCCATTATTGAGTGGCTCCTTAGTTTCTACAAAAGCTACACCCTTCTAATATGGTATTGAATATTTCAACTACATAAAATTTGGTTAAGTCGTATTGTTCGAAATACCACTCAATAAAATAAAATTACAACACAAAAAACTGAGAACAATACCAAAAAGTCTCATTTTTGTAGTAATCTCGTAAAATTGAATCCTAACTTCAATGTTATGTTTATTGATTGTACCATAGTGGGACCAACATTAATATATAAATCATCTTCAATACACTTTCTCTTCAATTTCCTTCTTGGCATGTCATCTACTATTAATGAGTGAAAGATCCACTAGTATACCAGAGATCTCCCTTGAATGCATAGTGAATAATCTACCAAGAAAAGAATTGAAAAGATAGTACACTAGAGAAAATCTCACTCCCAACATAAAATGTTGATAACTGAAATTTGGCAAACTAAGGTTTTAAACTGGCTAAATTAGGACACAATCTTCAGTGCTAAGACTTCTTGTTCTTGCAGGCAACATAAGACCAGGTGCCATGATGTGAAATATGGACCAAAATAACTATAAAAATGATGACACAGAAGCATTGTATGGACTCTGAGTTAAGAGAAGAAATTACAAGGACACCAGCCAATAGAACATTTTCAAACCATTATCCAGCAAAAGAATCCAAGAAGGAAACAAAAAACGAACAATTAAAAAAGAGAAAAAGAACTGATTTTAAGTTTCATAACCAAACTAATTTGTCAAATCAAATCCACACAACCCTCCCACCATAATATCAAGAAATTTGCCTACAATGAATTATTCTTATCTCAATCACTGCATTCTCTAACTAATTATGGTCCTAGCAGCAATTTAAAAGAAGTTGTAAGAAGATGCATCCATGGGGTGAATGAGGTATGTAAGAACAAGTGCCACGAGCATCAGCACATAAGCAATCCCCTGGTCAACACTAGTCCCTGCCAAAGAAAAAAACAGCAATAAAACTTCCATTAACACAATATATTTTGTCCAAAAAGCAACTGAAATACAGTATTAACATTAACATTCCCAAAATTTACTGTTAAAAAAATCTTTTGGAATTTAGACAATCTTATAACAGCAACATTGCAATTTTTGTCAAATAAAAGTCTCTTAATTATTCTACTGAAGAATGTAATATAAAAAATCGGCAAATAAAACTTGAAGACTTAAAATGTTGATAACAACATATTCAACGAAATTATAAGACTAAATATGCTCTCAAAGATGTGCATATGCCATAAAGACAGGGGTAAGGGGCTGTTTGGCAATGTCCAATAAAATCAATTCAATCAGGTTTAGGACGGATTTTTGCAGGCCAACTAAGAAGTCAAAATTAACAAATTATAACTCCTCGTTCTTAGTCTTGCCGAACCGTCCCGCACGGAACCATGTACTCAAGACTTTCCAGACGACTCGTTCATACAAAGGTATAGTTACATCCAATGCAGAAACAAAAAAGCGCTCACAAGAGCACAGATTTCCAGATCAAGTAATTACATATATCTAGGCACATGCATTTATGTGTGTGTGTTAGAAACATAAAAGAGAATATTACCATCGCTGGCAGGAGCAGGAGCAGGAGCAGGAGTATTCGCAGGGGCCATAGATTGGGCTCTAGCACTCGGCAAAACGATTGGGAATACAAGAGCAAAGATCAACCCAACTCCAATCAAAACCCTAGACACAGCCATTCTTTCAATCTCTCTGTCTATCCACAGATTCCTCTCCCAGACGTCAAATCTCACACACTACCTTCAAATCTTCTCCGCTAACAACCAAGCAAAATACAGAGAAAATCGAGAGAGAGAGAGAGAGAGAGAGAGAGAGAGATAGTATTTTGAATGGGAATTGTGAGCTGGACGGACATATTGCTGTTTATATAGGGGTCTACGATATAGAGAGAGAGAGAGAACAAGAGGGCCATTCCGGTAATCGGTTAAAAATTAAAAGTTTTACGTGGTGGTCCCACAAATATTTCCATATCCTATTTAAGCCATGTGCCTTCTATTCCTAATTCCCGCCAGGCTGTCAATGTCGTCTCCCCACATTTACTGACGAAACTGCCCCTCTAACTTTACGTTTTTTACAAAGCTTTCATAGGATTCTCAGTTTTTGTTGTGTACCGTAACGGATCCTAACGGCTAATAATAATCCATATCATAAATTTGAATGTGAATGGATAATCCAGCGGCTGATATTGAAATAAGAGTTGTTAAAAAATTGAAAATTTCTACTTCACGAAAGAGAATTTGAAATTTGAATATTGGATTAGATCTCTTAAAAAAAAATATATATATTGGATTAGATGATTTTCAAAGATGATGAAATTCAAACCCTAAATCATAAATTCTAAACCCTAAATTTTAAATCAATAATTCAATTTTATCAAGTTCCTTCTTAAATTTCAAATTTCTAACAACTTCTCTTTCAATATCTGCTGCTCAATAATATTTGAATATTAAATTAGATGATTTTTAAAACAAGATGATCAACCTTGAACCCTCTTGATTATATCATTAAATATTGAAATATTTGAATATAAATTTTTTTCAATAGTAGATTATCTGTCGTGTAAACTTACTCAATATAATGAATTTTGCTAATATTTGTGCGAAGAATGTAATTTGTCATAGAAATTTTACGTTGAAGGGGATCCAAAACAACACAAATGGAACAAAATTAATGGCATGAAAATTGAAATCAAAACACGTCAAATAGATCGTCAAAAGATAATAAATTAGCTGTTAAAAGTGTTCTTTTAATGGATCATGAAGCTAGATTTGATAGCCAACATGTCATTTTTGTCTGTAAAACATAATAAAGATTAAAGTTGTCAATACAGTAAGAATTTATAAGATTCCCAACAATATATTCTTATTAAACATAAATCACCTATTAATAATTCAAATGGGACCCACTCGTAAATTTTCTTGTGAATAATTTGCTACTAACTAGAATTGAAGAAATATATCAAAAAAATCTTAATTCCAATTAGGAAAGCGCAGGCTAGCCGTTATTAGAATATACAATTAACAGCTAAGTCCTGTTCACCAACATTCCACTACAAAGGCATTAATTAGTCAGCACCAGCACAGGATTTGATAGGTTTGTGTCGTTTGTATCAGCATCTAGTACAGCTTGTAACTCCTGTCTCCTTTATTCTTTTTTTTAGTAACCGTTGCAAAGCAGCAGGTCCACTGATTTTTATTATAGATTTTTCAGTTCAATTGGTATGAATTCAAGGTAAATAGAATTGAATGTAGGACTCATAATCAAGCCAAATTACCAGACTAACTTTGATTTGTCTAATTTTGAACTTAAACAAGTTTTTAAACTCATTTTAAAAAAATAAACTCAAGAGATTCGATTTGAGTTCGCAAAATTCAACTCAATTATCAACCCTAATTAAGTGTTAGACTACTAAGACTTATTTGAAATTTCAACATGGTTTTAACAAAATTTATATATATATATATATATATATATATATATACACAAAATTGCAACTTTTTAATTACTCAAGAACCTACTTGCTCATATTATCGGTTATGAACTTCCCAAAATAAGGGGAGAGAGAATCCTTCCAATAACATCAGGCACATCTGTCAATAGAAAAACAAATAAAAACTAAAAAGGAACACACACAAGAGCATTAAAAACATAATCATGCGAAGAGACAAAGAAAAACAGCTAGCAAGGTTCATTCCTAAGATTTTATTGCACTCATAAGTTCTTACATAAACAAATACACAACTGACAGATGTATGATATGTCCGGAAAAGCATCACCATCAACCACTATGACCACACATGCAACCCCTTAACTAAGAAACACAGCACATGCAGGCACCATAACATAGCTTATTATTATTATTATTCTAATTACAAACAATGACATTATGGAAAACATACTAGACTATTGTCCGCCCCAATCCAGATGGGACCACATAACATGCCAGTCTATGCGCACATGTCAACAATGGGCAGGCCATCTAACTCCTGATTCACCATCACTTGCAATTTTCCACATTTTGGGTCTGTCAAATTTTAAATATAGGAAATTATTGGAACACTAATATACAATGAAAATATGTTTTCATTTCCTCTGATGCACAAGAATTTTACTGAAAATGGACCAAACAAAACATTATCTTGTATAAATATCATACAGTGTTCAACAAGGCAAGAATCAAATATAAACACGACCTACTTTACTGTCTTCAATCTGCTGTGAATAATAAGCACCAGATGCCATAGCCTGTGATGAGTAAATTTCAAAACAATTCAGCATTCTGATTTTTGATTGTTAGTCACAAGTAAAAGCTTCCAGGAATCATAACAAAACAGAATACAGGCAACTATATGCCGAACCTGTATGTAAGAACATCACAAAACAAGTAGTCCCAGTATACAGAGTCTCCTTGACTTGGTAGAAAGAAATAAAGCATTATTAACAAATTTTGGAGTGATGTATGTGCTGCACCTAAAAGCTTATTTGAAGCAAAAACGAGGATATGGTAGCATAAACTTAATTACTTTGAATTAAGGTTGCCTAATTAATTTGGGCTTCGGCCAAACTGTCCATGTGGAACAACTTTATTAATCTAGAAATATAGCAGTGATCAATAGCCAATAAATACTTTCCAACTAAACTAATATAGCAGTTACCGTACAGAAGCTGTTTTTTGGTTACAGAATTTTCTCTTTTGTACAGTATACTGTTTGTTTTGTTAAAACAGTTACTGTTTACTTAACAGTTTCAGTTTGCTGCTTCTTGTAATTTTTTGATATTTTTCATTAATAAAATTCTCTCCTTTTCTTAAAAAATAAATATATAAATACTTTCCAACTAAACCCAAATCTATTAAAGACTTATTCAGCTACTTACCATTGGCTGCATTGAACCCTGTCTCGCTATTTAACTTTGCTAGATGCCAAACTTTCTGTTACATAACAAAAAATCATAACATCTTTCACTCTCTCAATCCAAGTCAATTTTGGATGTTCTTCTTATCCTTAACATTTCAAAGGTGATCAAGCCACTCCCCTAACATTCTTACCATATTAGAAAATTTTATACTCTTTAGACTTGAAACTGAACGGTTATCAAGTTTTGTAAACCAATCAAATATCTTGCCCTATGAAAGAAAACTTTAAGGACAAACGAACTGCAGAGAACTACGTAAAAAGTCAGCCATTGGGCAAAACCATGAAGAAATGGTAAATCATTCCTACTTCTCCACATCATATCCAGCCAGTAAAGCTTATTCAGGATAAGCAGATGTGGTAAGTGAGTGATATACGCTTAAATTTGATCAAATTGGAAGGTAACAATAAATCTCAGGTGAAATTCCAGTAAATGATTGTAACATACTTGGTTACTTCACAGTGATAACTTTGGATCCACTGTCCCTGTAGTATTTCCTTCTCCTGTTAGAATGTGGTCTGGATCCTGGACATATCAATGAGCCCATTATAAGATTGAATAGGAACGATAGATGAAAGAGATCAGAATAGTAGGGCATGTACCTCCAAACCCCATTTGATGTAATCTGGAGACTCACAGGCCTTATATTCATCAACCAAACTCTCAATTATGTCTCTAGATTCGTCAAACTCTGAAAGATCATTGTCCTGAACATGTTTTGCATTAGATGGAAATGAGACCAATGTTAAACAGAATTGGTGCTAACTACATAAAATAAAAACATGTGCCAAAAACATTGGGGGCCTTGGAAACCAATTCTAAATCCCTCTTTTTGCTAGATGATTCGTAGAAAGTAATCATAAGAATATCAGGGTAACTAATTACGATTTATAAGATAAACCCCATCAACTGTGGCATGATTACAGAAATCGGTAACCTTAGCTTCAAGGAAAATAAGGGAACAAAAAACTTGCAATACAGCAATATAGAAAATTTTTCTCCACCTCAAACTGCACATTTAACACTAGTGGCCTAAGGTGCACATATGCAGTCTATCCAGGTAAGTATTAAATTTTGCTGAGGAATTACAATTGGGGCAAAGATCTCCAATCTTATTTTGGTCTAATTTGTAATATCCATCTGAGACTGGTTTGTTACTTGGCGGGAATTGGAAGTTTCGAGAAAGCACTATATGCGGTGGCTTAGGTAAGGGACCAAGACAGACAAATAGAACTACTTAAATAAAACTTGCTAAATCAACCATTCTGATTCTATATATAAATACATTTACGATATGCTTAAAAGAAAACATTTTCTTTTCTTTTCTTACCGAGTGGGTATGATCCACATTTATTTTGAAAAGGATGAAAAAGGGAACCACTTTATGAACTTATGGAGTCTGTTACATTATGCAAGTTATTTGGTTGGAAAGAAATACGAGAACATTTGACACAGATGTGAGGTGATTGATGGGCAGAGCTACTTTCTAGCATCTTTTTGCTCCTTAGTCGATAAAGAATTTCAAGGAATTCCACCATTATGTATTTTGGCTGGGTGGAATGATTGGTGGGATTTTAGCCTTGATTCATATGCTTATTGCAATTTTCCATGCAATGCTTTTGGTTGGACTTCTTTTCCACCTTCACTAATGTAAAATCATATATGATCAACAAAATATTTGTTCTCATCAAAAAAATTTCTTATGAGAAGCTCAATCCAAACCCTCAATGATATCTAAAAAAACTAGATAACATATTTAGCACTACCAACATTAAATTCTAAACCTTAAAAAAAATAAGTTATCACTTTTCAAAATGTTTTATTCTAACTTAAGCTTAGTCATACTGAGACAAAAACGAAAACCAAGTTAAAATTAACTATCCATACCACACTGTCATTTAGACAAGGAAATCCAAACAATTATGGGAATCAATGCTAGATGAAAGATAATTGAAAGAAACATGATTTCATAGCATGTGGAACAAACTTTTGAGTAAATCTCTTCCTATTTTTTTCTTCGTTACCTAACTTTTTAGCTTTTCCTCATTTGACAACATAACATCCAAACAATTTCTCTATGCATATGCCTATATTATTTACCTAACAATTTTTTTTTATTTTTTTGGTCTTCGCTCTTAATTCTATGCATATACCTATATTATTTGCTATATAAATTCTAGTAGACTTACAGAGAGGTAGAACCATATACTTTCATGAAATCTATCACTTGAATTTTTAACAAAGCACATGACTAAATTATCATATATCAGCAGATTCAGCACACAGTAGATTTCAAATAGTTAGGCAACTAGACCTAAAACAAAAAGACTACTGTTGAAGGATTGGTAAACCAGTAAGCCAGAGTACAATACAAAGAAAACTATTTGATGATTAAAATTTATTGGTCTTACCTTTTAGCCTAAAACCATGGCAAATAAGACTTCTAAAAGGGAAAGCTCGTAATAAATCTACTCCATAAAGACAATTATTGAAAATATCAGGAAACCAACTGTTTTTGTTCAAGTTAATGAGTCATAGAAAAATAATCAACTTAACTAAGAGCTTTTGTTGCAACCAGGGCTTAGTGAGCATTAGTTTGAAAGGGCAGTTCTTTTCCTTCCCACCACCCCCTCCCCAATTTCTTCAGTAGTGCATATATATTCATGAATTTTTCATCTCCATACTCACCTTAGCGACCTACATCGAGTTCTTTCTTCCAGTCAATTGTTTTTGAGTTACATTTTTAGCCAATCCAATGACAAAGAATAGTAGGGCATAATACCTATATATGATGTTTGTCAAAGCACAATATTTTAAAAGAAAAACCTTATAAGAAAACACAAACTCCAGAAGTAAATACAACTTTATAGCTTAAATAATATAGGAAATACAAGCTCTTTTCTTCTTTTTATGTAAGATCACAACCTACATGATTATTGCTTTTACTTTTACAGGTATGATCATGTTAGAAACATATCTGCAAAGTTTCCAACATGTTTAATCCTGATCAAAAGGAAACGAAGAGGCCAAAAAGAATATCAAAGTGCCAAATTTTTGAAGTTTAATCTTCAATCCCAATAAGGATTCCAACAAATTCATGTAAATGCTATAATCATCAACCTCACTTCTCATGCTACATCAACTTTTTAAGACAAACAAGAAATGAAATTGGCTTCAAAACAATGAAAGAAGGCAAAGTGATTAAGAGACTGGCTATAGTTATCAAATCGTGTATCGGAAGGCGTATCGTATTTTAAAAATAGTGTATCGTATCGTGTATCGTAAGATACGGTATAATTTTAAATAAATAATAAAAAAATATAAATACCTTTGAAAAAATATCATACACTCATAAAAACATAGCATTTTATTAATACTCCACCAACTATTCAAGTCATCAACATAATCCACTACTATTATAAGGCAAAGTTCACAACCATAGTTCACTAATTCAACCACTGTTTAAAATTAATCAAGATTCAAAAAATTTTATGCAAAAAAAATATATATATTTGGCTTTGTAAATAAATTAACATCATTTCTTACTGTAAAGGACAACAGGTCGATGGAGACTGGGAAGAAGAAGAAGAAGAAGAAGGGAGCTTCAATGGAGCCTGGGCTTTGATGGAGGCCGCTTAGATGAAAGAGATGCAACTTCGATGGAGGTAGCTTAGATGAAAGAAAATGCAGCTTCGATGGAGGCAGCTTCGAAGACCAGCGATCACCCACAGTCGATCACCCACAGCAAAATCTCACAGTCGAAATCCCACAGCTATCACCCACACTTGCCGTCGATGGCTGAAGGAAAAGCCAGAGACCTCTGAGGCTCTGACCAGCGATGAGCAAACGATGAATATGAGAAATGAGGGATTTTATTTTTTTTTGCAACCCTACTGATGGGGATCGTGTAGGAATTTAATAGATATTATAGATTAATTATGATAGTTATTTAGATACTTTTAATATTTAACTTTTAAGTAATTTTTTTTAACTTTTAAGGGTTAGTTGTCATTTTGATTATTTATTTATTTTAGAGTTTGTGATCTCCTTATATATATAGGATTTGTGAATTCCTTATACATATATAGGGGATACATATTTGTTGAGGGACTAAACTTTGATTATTGATTATTGATATTGAATCTTCTTTTTAAAATTCTCTCTATTCTCATCTCTTTCTTCTTCTTTTCTCATCCTAATTTTTTCCTAATACGATCTACATCAATTTGGTATCAGAGCCCAACTTCGATTCGTATCAAAAAAAAAAAATATATTGTTCATTGTTCACGCATGCACTGTTCATCCCCGAAAATACTGTCACACGTGCACTGTTCATTTGAAATCACTGTTCACGTGTGGCACTGTTCATCACCATAAGAAAAAAAAATTCCAAAACCAGCCAAAAAAAAAAAGAACTGTCTGGCAGATTCAGAAAATTGCAGCAACATCCCAGCTATTCTAAAAATTACAGAAACACCCCAGAAAATTTCAAAAGTTGCAGAACTAGCATATGAAGTTTCAGAATTATAGAACATCAATCCAGAAATTATAGAAATTACAGAATCTTTCCCCCAGAAGTTCCAAAAATTGCAAAATTATCCCCAAAATTTCAGAATTTCTTCTTGATTATGGTATGCATATTCCCATGAAATTTGAGACTAATATTTTTATTCATTGAAAAATTAGAGAATTTGCAAAGAATCCAAAACATATTTTCTTCTATTTAAGTTTTATCACTTCTCGTAATTATTAATTGCATCCTTGAACTCATTCTTATGTTATTCTCATCTTTCAAAGTTAATCATGAGTTCATATGATCATTATGATGCCTATTCATATACTTATCCAACATCAAGAATGTCTCAAGTTCATAGTTCTCCACAACGTCATCACTATATCTATTCCACTCCTAGAGCTTCTTGAAGTCATCATAAAATCCATAATAAGTTTGAGTTTTATTATGAAGATTATTTAGAATACTACTCTAGGACACTTAGATCACATAACAGGTACCAACGTCATGCTTCCCAAAGTCGTCATCAAGGTCAATCTGGATCAATCTTCAATGTTATTAGTGACCATTCAAAAGCCCAAATTGCTCTAGGAAAAAAGGTTGAGATCTTTGAAATTGAAATTGTCAATACTAAACATTCACTCAGCCAATTATGTGAAGAATGTAGAGGGGTGAAAAACCAATTATCTGAATTAATAAGTCAACTTTTCCACTTTAATAAAATTCTTGCCAAGTCAGCAAATGGAAAAAAATAAGGACAAGTCTCCAGTTTTACCTAATGTCGGACACCCGGATAATGATAGCCATATTTTTGTTCCAGTGGACCCACATGCTTTATATCCTTCAAAACATACTTTTAATCGTTTGAGTATTGATACGAGTGATGAGATTATTTTTGATCCTATCATGTTTCCTACCTCATCGGTGCCAAAAATTGAATCATCACTAAGCATTGAACTTGAGAAAAAATTCATTCAGTTAGTTCCTATACAAAATGTTAAGCATATTGAGCTATCTATTTTACAATATGTTGGCAATTATTCTATGTCTACTATTCTGAATCATGATGGCATTGTTATGGATTCTTATTCATTTGAGATTGTTGATTTTGTTTAGGATTCTTCTCCACCAGAGATTGTTGACATTACTCTAGATTCTACCCCACTTGAGATTGTTAACTTTGATTCTTTGCCTACTGTAAAGTGTTCAATTGAATCTGTACTTTCTTATTTTTAGCATCAGGGTGTTATAATTACTCCTTTGTCATTGATGTCTTGTCTCGTTGAATGTCAGTTGTTCAAATCTAATGAAAATTATTTTGCTATTCTTGAGTTTGGATCTAATGCTTATTTGCTTAATTTTTCATTGAATGTTAGTATTAGTTCAGATTTTTATTGGGAGGACATGCTACTTAATCGAGGTACTCCAGAACCTCCTATTTTATTCGCAGGTGTTCATACAGATGGTGATTCTTGCATTTATCCTGGTCGATGGAAAAAAGTTGATAGTTCTTTCATTCTAGATGAGGCATTATGTCATATTCATTCTGCTCTCTTGGGATACTTCTACTTTGAAGGCTCTCTGGAGGAGAGTTTTTTTCAACCGGAGGAGAATGATGGGAATCGTGTAGGAATTGGATAGATATTATAGATTAATTATGATAGTTATTTAGATACTTTTAATATTTAACTTTTAAGTAATTTCTTTAACTTTTTGTCATTTTGATTATTTATTTATTTTAGGGTTTGTGATCACCTTATATATATAGGATTTGTGAATTCCTTATATATATTGGGAATACATATTTGTTGAGAGACTAAACTTTGATTATTGATATTAAATCTTGTTTCTAAAATTCTCTCTATTCTCATTTCCTTCTTTTTCTTTTCTCATCCCTTTCTTTTTCCCTTCTCATCCCTAATTCTTCTCTAGTACGATCTACATCACCTAGCCACTGAAACGACGTCGTTTCAGTGGTTATAGGGATTAAAAAAATAAAAACTTGGTACAAAACAACGTCGTTTCAAAAAAAAAAAAAATTTGCACGTATCGTGCGTATCGTGTATCGGATAATACAATACAAAAACGATACATAACTACGATCCGTATCGTTTTAGGCCTGTATCATAACGTATCGTACGATACTAACAACTATGGGCATATCTAGTATGGAAAGTGCAGCAAAAAGGTATTGACTTATCACAAAGCTCTATTCAGCATGATAATAAAGCTTACAACACATTGAACCATGAACCATGCACATTGAAACCACTGGTGAATTATCAATCACAATAAAAATTCTCAACAACGATAACTTGGCACTGAAATGACATTAATAAGGTAGGTAACTTACAGCAAACATTGGGTAATTCCTATAATTGTCAAGAAATGCTTGCCTCTTTCTCAACTTCTCGTACTGGCTCAAACACTTGGAGAATAGATGGCGGATACCAGTATGACTTGCCAGCATAAGACCACTGACCTGACAAATGTAAAAACCAAAGTATTCCTGTTCAACCTTTTTCGACTAACTTACAGTACTCAGCATAATGTTATAAGGAAACCATAACTTCAAATCTGATTGTATCAAGCGCAGACAAAATGAAACAAAAATTCAAAGTTCTTATAAATTTTACAAAAGGAAACAAACAAAACAAGAATAGTGCTGAGAATGAACTGAGTGGACGACTATTGTCCTGTTCACACTTGAGTTGACTGATCTTACATGGTGCTTAAGCTCACTCGAGCTTGACTTAGATTCACCTTGAGAAGCTCAAGCTCTGCTCATACAGTTTACAGGTGGTTGACCTTATATTTAAATCCACAATCTCATAGTTATCCAATAAAACAATCGTGGCACACAAAAGAGTATGGAAATCTTAAAAATGCAACAAAGGGTGCAAAAACTGAGAGGATGGACCCAAGTTGAGCACAAGGCAGCTCAATTCATTAGAAGGCATTAAGCTTGAGCTCGACTTGTTTATTCCAATGAGTGAGCTTGACCATGCTCTCAATGACTAGAGTCTTGAGCATGGACAGCTCAACTCGTCTAACAGTGATAAACAGAACAGTTTATACAAGGAAACTATAGAGATTCTCACCCTATGAGCAGTTTGAACATAAGGAGACTTTCTAGATAGAGCAACCTGCCAAAGGAAAAAAAGAAGGTAAAAGATCATGCCAACTTTACACTGACAGGGTCAACAAATGAACTGAAGTAACAATTAAATGTTGTTGCTAGACATGCCTGAATGCTTGCAGGGCCCCATTCAATAAAATTAACTAGCTTTCTTTCACGTATTCTCTGCAAACTTTCATGGACCTAATTTTGGAAACAACATTAGCATTAGATTGCACCACAATGGAACCTTTCATAAGACCATTGCATCATGATACAAATTACAACAGTGAATTCAGCATAATATCATGGAGAATGTATCCCCAAGAACGTTACCCAGATTCAAAGAGTCTTCATATACAATGCAACAACTACCCTTTACATTCATATGTTTTTTTTGGTATAAAGAGTAAAGACATGTTGATCTATGATTAAATATGACGTCGAGTGAAACTAAAAGTAAAAATTAGGATTGGGTGGCCAACCCCGTAGGTTTCCAAACGATTTTATTAAGTACCAAGTAATATCTAGAAGCTTAACTCCCTTTGAACGGAAAAACTAAAAATAGGGATCAGTCTTTCAGACATGAGACCCTTCCAACTTCCAAGCATGTCATCCAAGGGGGGCTAGGATAAAGTCACCAAATAATGGCCTAGGCAAAGGAAGGTTATATGTTATTCCAAGGATAGTAACATTGTTTTTATCAGATATCCAAGGATAATAAGATTCCGAAAAAATACTATCATAAACATGTTGAGTGAATCCTATAGGAGTGAGTTGACACAAAGAACACTAAAAATTGAAACAATTCAGCAGAGAGCATTAAAACTAATATCACACCTTCTGACGCCCCTTTGATGTCATAAGACTCTAAGATTACAGACAATTAGACCAACTTGAGCACAGGACAGCAAAACAAGCAACAGGTGGATACACAGCAACTAAATAGGGGATAATATGCGTCACACTTAAGGACAAGAGTTCAACAGATACCCGCAAACTGAACTCTTAGGATTGCCACCACAGTCAAAAATAGATGATAAATACTAAGTTGCATCAATGAGGAAAAGGCATCCTCACTTAACCAGATGCAGTGAATGTCTTCTCAAGTCCAAAAATCACTTGCCTATTTCAATAGGGGTGCCATATCTAATCCATTTCTTGTAGGACTAAACAAAGATAAGTTTCAATGCAAAAGCTTCCCCAAATCACTAGTAAAGTGATATATTACAATTACCTGAGTAGGATCTACGTCTCCTTGAATGATGTTTAATATCGATATGTATTTCGCCTGACTAGCTTCTTTTGTTCGAGCACAAGAGGAAACCATAATATTTTTTGTCTGCAAAACAGACCACTGTCAGGATATCCATATCCATGTTTTGCAAATTTTGCAAAACAATTATGCGCAATATTTCTCTTGCCTGAAGAAGCCTCCTCATCACATCTAGTACGGTTGTTTTACGAATCACACTGGCCTGTCAAAAAGATTTATCTGCATCAGACTGGTGCTTTAATCATTTGATAGGACCATCAAACCAGAAAATGAGATGCCAAAACCATGAATATCAACTACTTTATAGAAAGAGAAACTAGCCCCCTACTTTTGGGGGCAGTTAGGACCATCTATTTACGACTCTTTGTTATGCGTAAGTCATCGATTCCATGGGAAAGAGTTAAAATTCCCATTGCTATTTATTTGCCCTGTGATTACCTGCTATGCTATCCCAACTGCCCCTTTTTAACCCCATGATTCGGTTTCTATGTCATCCTTATTTCTCCCACCTAATTAATTCTCGCGTTGCATTACTTATAAAATCTTGTCGTTGGACATTCCTATTTAAACTTGGTGGTTGCACGCATCACAATGCCACAAAGCAATACAAGGCACAAGCAGACTACCATGACATGTTTGGACAATTTTCCAGTTCAGACTTGAATTCAGCCAATCCTTTTAGACCAGTAAGTTCACGAGATTATTCTTAACCTCTTTTGTCTTTTCTGCAGCCTTTCTTAGGCCACAGGAGTAACCTATGCTTTTGACAAACTACTGCCCCTGGAACAATTTCCTCCATCCTCCACAACAACATATCTATTCTATCACAAACTATACACGAAAAGTTGACACACTCTGACAAACAACAGAATTTTCAAAGGAGAAAAATGAAAAACTTGTGCAGCCAAAAAATCACAAGCATTACATACTTCATTTTTAAGATAAAAAGCAGACCAACCTCAACCCCCAATATCTTCAGTGTCTTATGACCAAAACAGAGTTGGACATAAAATCTATTTCTAGACCCAAGTTTCATTTGGATCACTTGATTAGAGGTTTTATGCTCTTCAAAAAAAGGATAGAAAAGGGGATAGGGTCATTGACTCACGAAATACTACATAGAATATGAAATGGAACATTATGAAAGGTATCGTATCACGATGCCATGGAATGTTATTAGCTGATTGGATGACAATGACTTAGATGACTCGGCGGAGTTGAGTGAGACTCGTGATTTACACGGAGTGTGAAATGGTATTGGAAGCAAAGACTTTGAATCGAATACAACTTGGCTGAGCCAAATTGGTATCAGTTGTATTTTGAAAAATGGTATAGAACACATAACACACAAATCAGCCTGCTGACTATCCAGTTTCCAGCAGATAACTCTTCCAAAATCAATTAATTAGCCATATAAATAATAGGAGTGTATTAAATGGTTTACTTAAAAGAAATCATCTACTAAATAGTGCATGTTAAATTCTACCTGGCGCTCCACCGTGAGTGGTGTATACCCGGTCATTAGAAAATGACATCTTGGCGTTGGGATCAAAGAAGCAAGAAGTCCAACCAAGTCATTATTCATGTATCCTGGATAACGCAATGTTGTTGTGCTAGCTGACATTACAGTAGAAACTAAAGAATTTGTTTGGGCAAAAGAAGGATTTGTAATATGTAGACGCTCCACAGCAATTCTATTAAGGGAAGTATTGTCAAGGACCACAACACAATCAGCATTCAGTGTTAGTCGCTTGAGTGTCAAGAGGGAATTATACGGCTGGACCACCACATCACTTATCTCATTCTGATTAGGAAACACGCTGTATGTCTGAACAAGTTTTTTGCTGTAGCGATCATTCAAAGTCTCCAATAGATATGAACCCATACCTGCATTAGAGCATGCAATCATTGATACAATAGAAGTCCTAGAGGTGAAACCCCTTGAAAATTTCTATGGCAAGAAAGTGATTAACTCTATCATTATGGAATTTTATATGAACAGTAAGCACTTAGTTGGCAAGGGCATTCTAAGCAACTATGAGACCAGCGAACTAAAAAACCAACATTTCTGCTATATAACATTTTCTCCCTGTTATCAGTAAGCTGAGTTTATTACAAACGTCACTTAGAAAGAGGGTGAAAGACAAAAAAAAACGAAACAAATTTTTAGCGCATTATGAAAATTACAATATCTAAACTTATGGTGATCAATAGCAAATTCCAGAAATATTGGGAATCTAAAGAAACTTCACATGTGCCAGATTTTTGAAAACATAGGTAGGGAGAAATAAATAAAAGGAGTCAAAACCTGAGCCCGTTCCCCCAGCAATTGAATGGCACAGAACAAAACCCTCAAGACTATCACTTCCATCTGCTTCTCTATCAATCATGTCCATCAAATCCTCCTCATACTGCTTACCCTGATTCATCAAACCATACTGGCTATGTCAAAAGTATGAAACATACCAAACTCATATGTCATCCAAAACATATAGGACAGAATACAAAAACTTCAACCACAACCTTTGAGAAAAGGAAGTGAAGTTCCTTTGCAACAAGAAACTTAAAAGGAGTAAGTCATAAATCTTGTTTTTCAGAAAATATCTGAACCTACAAATGAACTCAATAATTTCAGTAAACACCCAATGTGTTTCAAATGGTCGTGTGCATTTCACAATAACAGCAAAACACAACATTAAATACTTGGGTTTTTCAATACTAGCAGAAAGCATACATGCCACCAAAGCATACAGCTTTAACAACACAAAGAAATGTCAGACAATGCTTCCTTGTAAAAGACCATTTACTGACCTGATGATATCCACTGGCCCAATTATTGCCAGCACCCCCTCCATGATCAGCAATGAATACATTCTCGTGATTGTATAGGTTACGATATTCACTGTTTTGAATACCATTAATCACCCTGGGCTCCAAATCCATTAGTAAAGCTCGCGGAACATAATGTTGGTCATCAGCTTGGTAGAAAAATACATCTTTCCTGTCTCCTCCCTGCCAAAATACAAATTAAATATTCGAATAGTTTCCTACAACAAATAATACCTGCTGAAAACGCTTGTTAAATTCCTGGGGACCCTTGTCGTCATTTATAGCAACATCAACACAATAATATATATAAAACGTGTCCATACACATAACATGCATAGAATTTAAGCATGTCTTGTGTTAGTGTGCAATTACACATATTTCTCAACACAAACACATAAGATTGAGTAGTTAAACTCGCAATAGTTTATATAAACCCTTATTTTACAGTTCAACATAAAATTTTCATCAGATTTGGGATTTATAGCAGCAAATTTTCTGAAAAGATTATGTTTCAGTCGTTGATTTAACAGTAAACACACGTTTGAAGAAGGCAGATGTTTTGAACTTCACAGTAGCATTGCTAATTTCCTATTTTGACAGCTAAATAACATTCTAAGTTTAATAATTATCAAAACAACTAACGACATGCAGGGAAAAAATAAATAGAAAATCAAAATAAAACAAAATTTTCACTCAACTGAGTGTCACTCAACAATTCGACTTAGTAACTTATTCTTCTTCTTCTTTTTTTCTTAAATTTTCTCTCTCAAAACAACATAAATAACCAAAACTCTATTACTTTTAGGTTTTTTATTTTCATTTTCTTTTCTTTTCTTTTATCAAAGTACGCAAATACACTGAGAGAGAGTGAACCTGAGTGGCGAAATCTTCGAGAATGCCTTCTTTGCTAATGCCGTGTTCGAGGCAGAGTTGCTTCCAAAACTCCATTCCGATCTGGTTCCCGCATTGTCCCACTTGCAGTGTGATGATTTCCCTCGGCATTTTCTCTAACTTCTCTTTCTTTCTTCTCCGATAACAATGGTTTCGATCTGAGAGAATTTGAGATTTCTTTGCTTTAAAAAACAGAAAGAGAGGGAAAAGTGAATGAAAATTATGATCTCTCTTTCTCCCCCTCGCCCTTCCCCTTCGGAGGGTTTTTGTGTATAAATACTGGAGTGTTTTGCGTGACGACTTAATTATGGTAAGCCGGTAATGCTAACTTACGCTTTGGGTGTGCAAAGTTAATGGGTTATAGCCCAGGCAGTTCGGTCTTGTGGGCTGAAAGTATGTGTGATGGGCCTTAAAGGGTCGTAAATGAAGTCAGCACAAGGAAGGCTGTCTATCGAGACGAGTTATTCGAATTGACTCGAATTTGATTTGTGTTCTAAATGAGTCTAAAATATTGGCTTAAATTTACAAAGTTTGATTCATTTATATGTAAAATATTCAGCTATTTAGCTCAATTCATTTTTTAAATAAATCAAACTTGAACAATTTTTAGACTCATTTAAAAAAACGAGTTCGATAAGAGTTGCTATTGAAACTCGACTATATAAACCATAAAACTTAAACCCAATCGATATTCTAACCAAACCAAAAAAAAGCCCAAAGCGACAAAGTAAAATTTCTTTCAAAGTCAAGTTTAAGCTCCAATTCTTTTGTTTTAGTTTAAGAAACTTTAGCTTCATATTTAGACATTTGTGTATAAGCTATGTTTAATTTGGTTCAATTGCAATCCTAAGCCACAGCACACAATAACTCAAAAAAATTAAATGAAAAATGAGTGGACTTCCAAGCCAATATTTTCATTATTATATTTTTATTTTTCTCTTTCTTCATGGGTGACATGGCTCAATTATCAGCAAACCACAGTAGTCTTCCTATGCCTCAAGTCCAAAATGGGTTGGGAGTTTTTTTTTTTTTTTTTTTTGTGTAGAGGGGAAATTTTTTGGTTTACTCCGAGCAAGATGTGTTTATGTCGCTCAAGTTCGTGAGTTTGAATAGAATCGAAGGCAAACTTTGAGAACATAAATCAATCCCTCAACTCATACGCTAATTAAATCAGGACTTGTACTTTGGTGGAAATTCGAACTCATACCAGATTCTTGAAATATGGTACATCCAAGCAATTAAAATCCGTCCTACCAAGCGATCGCCCTTTTATCGCCCAAACGATTTAAACCCTTAACCTCAATAAAAAAAAAAAAATTTGCAAAGCAAGAAGTACCATTGATAGAAAGCATCATACCAATGATTGACACAAAAAATAAGCATGCATTTCACACACATACACACAAAACAGAATAAGAAATTTCTAATAAATCATTATATAATCATTCGTCCATCACCCGAAAAACAGAATTAATTATACATAATTACCCGATCTAGTTGATAGATTTTCTCAATTCTCTCGATACTAGATCACCACAAGAGAGTGGATCTTAATCTTAATCTTAGTCTACACACATGCATTAGCAGTTAGGTTTAGCAACTGATACATTAGGTGCAAACAACTACTAATTTTTTTGACATAAAACAACCACCAAACGTGAAATTAAAATGAAAAAAAACCATAGCCTACAAACAGCTTAGCCATTAATTTTCAGCACTCCCGATCAGTGATGCCACAGGAAAGCTCCCATGACAAACTTCCTCTTGTGGTTGACATCCCCGGTGATCGGTAATCCGTACGCTCGGAGCAAGCATTCTAGCTTCCACTCCGGCATGGTCTCGTACTCGGCTCTCGAATACCTTGGGTAGTGCAGTGGCATTTGGAAGTACCCACATCGCTCCTTTGCCTGCTGCCCATTTGCACCACCACCACCGCCCACATTAGGTGGTGGTTGTGCCACAGACTCCATTCCTCCACCACTCATCTTCTGTGTATTCTCTGCTTCTAATAGAATGTCTCACTCTTGTTTTCAATTAGGCAACTATATGGCCATTCATATCAACAGACGGCCCAATTTATAGAGCTGGTGGTGTGTGGTGTGTGTGTGAGAGAGAGAGAGAGCTGGAATGTACTGTAACAAGCATTGTCGAGGTAGCTATGAAATTTATTTCTGAGAAAACAAAGCCTAAGGTGGGGTTTGATTTTTCAAAGGAAATTTATTGCAATGCCCATAGGCCTTGTTTGAATTGTATTAATCAAGAGCGGGATTGAAAACTTCATATATTTTCTCTTTCATTCTTATATTTGGTACACACTATTGCCAGATTGGCCACCCATAAAATATCCATAGTACCATTATATTTCTCTCACTTTAACCACCCACAGTTAAGCCCGTCGGATTCATATCGAATCTTAGTGAATTCATAAAATAAACACTCTACTTATACCTAATTTATTTATAATTTAAATTTAATAAATTGTGTCATATCAGATTTGTGTCGTATATAACTAGTATACAAACGAGTCATGTTGTATATTTTTTTTAATTGACTTCACTGATACCCGATTTATTTATTAATCATATAGTATTAGATCTACTTATTTACGAAACGAGTGACTTGACAAAGACCCAAACCTTGTAATCTCATGTTGTATTAACAAATGATATCATATTTTGATACCCCTATCCATAACCTCTTAACTATCCATAATTTTCTATTAATTGCACCCAACTGTCTATATAATTTACGTTTCTTAGTCTTTTCTCACTCTCGTATTCGTCTCGCTCACCCTCTTCATATTTCACTTCTTTATAATCGCAAATACAAGTGACCGTGTGCAGGACCAACTACAAAGATTTTTCAAAGTCTCTGAAGTTTTAACAATCTTCCCCCTTCGTTCACCAGATTCATCATTTCATATGGAGAAGTGTTGTTTATAATAATGCCTTAAGGTACCCAAACTAATTTATAAAACAATGCCCCACCTCACCTAAACACCTATCCCTCCCACCACCCTAGCCTAAGGCTCAATCAAATGGCATGACAAGTTTCTTTCTTATTCAGAGAGAGATGAAAAGTGGGTCATTGCAATTTCCAATAATTCATGAGGTAGGTGGGCCTTCTGTTTGATCCACTGACCAGCCTAGCTGGCTTGTAATTTGGTGGACCAGTGGTTTCCGCATTAAAGGGGAACTCTATTTTAATCGAATAAATTAAATTAATAAATTAGGTCCTAAAAATACATTAACTAGAACAAGTTAAGTAGGAAACTTGCAAATGAAGAAGTTAATTGTGAAGGATTTCAGAGTATTCTTGCTTTCTATTCACCCTATCACCCTACATTCCAGTGGCAGACTTAATTGTATCAGATACCTGTACAGAGAAACAGCAAATAAAAAAATACATGTATAGAGCTTCAAGATGAGACCAGAGATCGCTAACATTTGACGACCCACAATTTGGGTTCGCGATTTAGATCACCTAAATGCCCAACTCCAAGTTGTAACACTAACTCCAAATTGATTAACTATTTGTATATGGATGTATAATTATATATAACTCTAGATCATAGAAAGTCAAACACAAATTGATGCACTATTATATATAATTTCATATAGTAGTGAAAATATAAGGGTTCCAAAAATGATTTGAGACCTATAAAACACCATACCAACTTAACTTACGCTCATTGCACCACACACCAACCCGTACACTCACCACGTATCAAATCGACCTACGATCCAAGTAACATTGGATAAAACATTGCAAAAGCAACACGTTTCAGTGGTGTTTGCCACTAATAGAATCAACACCTACATCAAATCAGCAGTGAACCCTTAAGACAAGGATTGCAACTCTTCTCTGCACCAATCAACACAAGGTTTAAACTAGATAGTTTCCAGTGCCACTAGACTCTGTTTATTCAATGCAACAATAAGTAGATATAGCTTCAAGTAATGTCAACCACACATTAAGTTGATTGACATTGAATACATAGCGTTGAGATTATCTATCACTAGATCCTGCTATAAACGAGAGCCTCAGGATGCATGGTGAGGAATTATTCAAACGAGGGCATTAAATATGAGAATGAACCATATACATTATGGTGTTCATTAACAAACCATAGCTGCCCAAAAATAACTGGTGACAAATATAGTACAAGATACCAGAAATAAGAGATTTAGACCACATATAGTGGCTTGATTTCACATACCATCAATGTCGGTAGGTGGTGGCAACAATTGCAGTGGATGCTGGAGACCCAAACAAAATCTCTGGTGTTTTCTCTGCTATTAATATCAGCAAAGAGTGATAGCATTGTAACTGTAATGTAGGCCACCTGGTGTAGCAGGAAGAGACACGTAATATAATTTTCATTAATTCATTTCATATACCAATTGTGCAGAAAATATATGTCCATAATCCTTATGCTTTAACCCTTGTTTTCATTGTTGAGCTGGTCTATGGGGATATGCTAGAAACCAATTGGGTCCTATACCAAAAAAATTGTCCTCATCATGATTTATTTAAATTTTTTTTCCCAAGTGTTTTGTGCATCAAACTACCATGTTAATCCAATAATTTTGCCCTCTATTATAAAAGATCAGGACAAGCTCTAACAGCTACCCATCAAGATCACCATTTCACAACCAGCCGTGCCACCAGCCCAACACTATTTACCATACTGCTTTAACCTCTGTCACTGCCATCGGAAGTTCATACCACCACCACCATCCCACTAAGATTGTTGCAGCATCCACCATCTCAACATTGTATTGGTACAAACATGACAACCTTATGAATATCAACATCACCACTGCATTGCATGTACACACTGCACATACTCAATGCCAAACCTTTGGTTAATGGTAACTAAAATTAAGACCCAACATGAAATGTTCCGTTTCATATTTTTTTATTGGGTTGGTCAGAAAATTCACTGATCATAATAGGACCAAGATCTGGTCATCCAATAAATTTCCTGCAACCAAAGATGAAATAAAATTTCAAAAGGGTAAGTAATAGGACCAAATTGAAGTTTTACAGGGCAAATAGCCAGTTCCGTAATGTTCTAACAAATTTTCTATCCCAAATCCTGTTAGAATGTCTTGTCTTTGGTGATTTTCTACATAATCTGACAGACTTCATCAGAAAAAGAACTTGTAACTAATTTTTCTTACACATGCAGACATACCAAAAAATTTCTGGATATGATGAAGATGACACATCAGGAATCTGTTCTTCGATCAACAGAAACTTCAATGATACTCTCAGGAGCTGCCTTCACCGTCAAAGGCAAATCCACAAGCATGTTTGGAGGGGCAAAATACATGTGTAGCGACATCATGCAGACAATGATACCCAGAAAAAGCTGTAGAAATACAAAAAGACAGAAATACGAAAGATCAAGGACTGGTTATCGTCAAAAAAAAGAGGAGCATGATCTGCTCATTGAGGTACATAACATGAGGATACTAAAGCTCACTTCAAGAATTTTGGAGCATTAGGCCCTAGTTGACATAAAAGAATAGCTCTTTCACTGTTTCAGCTCATATGAAGGCACAATTACATACTAACCAATGAAGGAAAAATAGCAATAATAGATTCAAGAACATCAGTAACATGATTGTAGGTCCTAACGGAAATAAGCAACTGTTTTTGCATCCCATGTAGGATCTGATATACGCACCATTGATGTATAAGTTGTAGATTAATAATATAATATTATTTGGTGGGGTTCATGTTCAAATGCTCTGAAATTGATTAAGGAAGGATGGCTTGATTCTAAAGGGAATATTAAAAAGCCAAAAGTTGGAAGCTTACCTGCAACGTTGGTCTGAAATTGAAGAGGAACACGGATAATACCATTGTCAGCAGCATTGCCATTGATGTAGAGTACACCTAAAACAAGCAACCAAATTTAAAGCAATTAACATGGAAAGCATAGAGAAAAATGTTAGATTTAATGAGCACTTGTCAAACACAGGCTAAAAACTGTGAGGATAATGGCTTATTGGCCTTGTTAAACCTAAAAAAATGGTTATTCCAAGATTAACATTGACTGGGCTTTGAATACATAAAACTAGAAGGTAAAATACTATCAAGTCAGAAACCATCATTGTCAGCAAAAATCATCAAAACTGTATTTGGAAAACATGGAGAAAGCGGAAAAATTTCATAAAAAAGTAAAGTGTACCTTCACAATATTGTCAGCATACTTCATTAACCAAGAAACCAGAAGCCCAGTAGAACCCAGATTTAACACCACCATCCATGTTGTGATACTGTATCCACTCAAAAGGCGTTGCCACCATGGTCCTTTTTCAAATCCACCTCTAAAATCATCTAAGAGAAGCCGTGCCATGTTGAAAATTGCACCAAATCTGAAAATAAGTACATTAATCTCCCCTATAAAGGCTTCCAGTAACTGAATATTTTTTGATATTGCAATCAATTTTCATTGACCAAGTCTCACAGCTTGTTTAATCTACCAGTTAACAAGGAATTATGTAGCTCAAACAAACTATGTCATAACATAAAATATAAGTGATCATCAATATGTTGTGAAGATTTATTCCCAGGAAAAAAAAAATCAGAATGGAGTTAGTTAAACTTTTCAGAGGATTCAATCCCCCAAACCTTTTGGGGACTGGGTTGCGATAGGTTGGAAGACGATATACAAGTATATAGTACAGTCTTCTAGGCATTAAGTAGGGGACATCAATACAAAATTACAAGTGCAAACAGCAAGTGCTAGACATCTTTATATGCTTAAGCTCAGGCCCCGTGGTAAATTTGATCCATAATACCTGATGCCTTGACAATAGAGAAAACTAAAATATAAATTGGGTAAAAATTTAGCCATTCATGGAATGAAAATTTTATTTTCGGGCATTCAAATTGCAATGTTTTGGATGACTAACATCTGCATGGAAAAATTCGTTTTGATAATGTACCACATACTGTCTCTATACATGAAATTCATGTAGATTAATACAATTAGGAATGTATAATATACTCTCTTCATTTTATTTCTTTCAATTCTTTTGAAAATCTCAATCCTCAACCACTTCAAAGAGAAAAAAGGAAAACTGATTCAGAAATTTTGGCTCACAGAAGATCACTCAAGAAAAAAACATGCAAGTGCAACTGAGCTTGAATGCAGCGAAGCCATGTTCAATCTAAAAATGTATACTGGTGGGTTGTGCTTGTTCAAATAAAAGAGACTTACGTATACAACTGAACATTCTGCCAGTATAAGCTGTCATTATTCTTCTTCATCAGGAACTCTGTATAAACACCAGCCAATGCTGAAAGACAAGCAGACAAAACTCCCAACATATAACCCTCCATTGGAAATGAAAAGAGGGAGTGACATGAAGCCTCTCCACAGCCTTTAGCCTGTACCAGCAAAAGATGGAAGAGATATGAGAAATACAAGGAAACTTTGGCCATGTACAAGTTAACTTGGTCATCCATTAGAAGAAACTAGAAGTCAAGACAAAGATGTGCAAAAACTTGTTTACAAATTTTTTTCTTCAACACAAACCCCTTTCAGGATCAAGTTAGCTGGCCCTACTATAACAAAAAATGCTGATGGGAAAGCATTCTGTGTATAATGGCAAATTTGAGGCACTATTCATTTGAGGCTTTGATTTCTCTATGCAGTTGAATTAAATCATAATCTCTCACACTTGCACTCAAGAAGTAAGAATATTCACCTATACTTCGTTGAGGTTGACGTACCCGTATCGAATACACCTTCTACGTATCCGATAATAATTAAATATTAAGATACTTCACGGATACTTTTGTAGTAGAGCAACATGTATAATTTTTTAATTGAACTTTTAACAACTCTTTTCGAATTCACATACTATACAATACATTAACAAAAATTTCATGTTACTTCCAAGGCACATGAGTGTTTTTTTAAGTATTATCTACAATTACATGTCAAAAGACCATATAGTAAAACTATTACATTATAATCTTAGTAAAAATTACTTCTAAATACTAGGCAAATATTAGTTTTGATTCTTTTAATTAGTCACTTCCCTTTGGAATATACCACAGCGACACGATATATATTTTCTTGAAACTAAAAGAATTATTAATTTTCTTTATTATATGTTAAAGAACAACCAAAATATATAAGTGTTAAGTTGGTTGAAAATAATAAAAATATTAAATATATTTTATTATGGCCGTATCCTGACAGTACCCGTATCTTACTTTTTTAAACTTTATCGTATCGCTGTATCCGTATCCATGCGTCATAGATGTTCACTATAGAAGGGTAATGTTTTTTGACAGAAAGGCTTTCAAGATCAATTTAGGTGGTCCAACTACAACAAAAAATGCAGATGAGAAGGCATTCTATGTGTTATAGAGTTGAGGAAAATAATCAATGTGTCATTTGTTGCTTTGACTTCCCTATGCAGTTGAATTATATCATAATTTCCCAAACATGGATTCTAGAAGTCAAGCTGGCAATTTACTTACCGGGATCTTCAGTCTGACTATACATGTAACCTGGAGTTGACCATGAACCCCTAGTCACTGCTAGCATCTGCTAAATATTCTCTCAACATACAGACTAGACATGAGTTACCATGTAGCTACAATTAAGCCACATAGTGTTTTCTGCTTCTTCGTATATTGTGATATATTGACTTGCAGGGGGCATACAGTGGAGATGTCTTTATTGCCCACTAACGAGTGAACTCCTAGTTTAAGTATGCTAGTGGTGGAGACAAAAGAAGTATTTAACACATCACATCTCCAAAGAAGAATTTAGTTTGTGGCACATATCAATGCACAAAGCAGCATAAATAAAGTAGGAGTGAGGAACCCAGGGGCACCTGGCTTGTGGTTGTTCCAACAGCCAATAGAACAATTGCCATCCACTGCAAATTAGAAAGCTTCCTCCTCAGAAACAGCCTATAAGAAATAGAAATATCTGCTACTTTATAAAAATCAAGACCAATATCAGAAATCCAATAAAAGACAGTTAGTTGAAAAATAGTTTTGATGCTCGACATACAAAAAACAAAGTAAATTCAGCAATAATGGGTTCAATGTAACCCAAAACGATAATTGAAAGCAGCACCTGAATAGTATCGCAGTTGTGACAATCTTCAAATTGCCCATTATCTGGTATGTGGATGTATCCACATAAGTCAAGGTAGCAAATTGGACATTATTGTGAATGAGGTATATGATAGAAGGAATAGGGTATAAACGAACACTCTTCCATTCCGTGGTCATTTTCGGAGGAGGTGACTTCTGAAGCTCTCTCCAAAGAAGAACACTAGATACAAGAAGCTGAAATTGAAAAGAGTATTACCAATATGTTGAGTTCCATAATGTAATGAAACAACATTATATATATCTAATTTGAAGGTTCAAATTCTACAATGAAGCAGACAAAGATCCTTTTTCTTTGACAAACCAATTTTTCTTTTCCTTTTATATGTCTAATTATCTAGTCTTAATTTGAAAATACATCATAGCAATTATATAAGATTAAACAGTCTATGAAGTACCTTAAAAACTTCAGCAAGAAAGGGAACAGTGGCATAGTCATATTTATAGCCCCCATTACTCTGTGAAAGTGTTGTCAAAATTCCCTGCATCATAATACAAATTTAGAATTCAAAGGGTTACAATCAGAAATGCAGAAAAAAATAAATTTTAAATCGTGCGTATACATTATTTTGTTTCAACAACTACTATTAAAACCTCTTTAGTTTCAGGATGGTGATTGACATTCCATATAGACGACCAATACCATTAATTACGCCATGGCTAATGATTGAGAAAAAGCTAGGGTTTCAGTTAGGGTTACAGACAGACCTGAGAGCTGGTAAGGATGGTGAGAAGCGAAGCGACGGCGTACCACTTCATCTTCTACACTGCTGTATCTCTCACCTCACAAAGGCATTGACAATCATTGTGCTTGCATCTGGGGAGCTTCGCATTTTTGACTGAGTCTGCCACTTTCTTAACCCCCTCTTCGAATTCTTCATCAAGATACCCCTTGGTTTTGGGATATTTGTGAAAAGCAGCTTTTTTTTTTTTTTGCAATTTTTGTTTGCTGTAAGAATAATGTTATTTACACTTATAAATCTAATTTAATTTGGAGACATAATGATATAGTTTTATAAGATTCATTCGATTAACACCAAATTTCAATATTTGATGAAGCTTACAATCAATTTAAAAATTATAGTGAATTAAGTCAATAAATTAAATTTTAATAATATTGCTCGTGTGGTAAATATATAAAGGAAAAGGGACGAAAAGTCCACCGCCACTTAGAAATAAGGATGTCAATGGATCAGGTTTTGAATTAAACTCGATTCGAATTTGAATTCGATTAATCGAATATAAATTAAATTTTTTTTATTGATAATTTGATCGTGAATCAGAATTTGCTATTTTATATTTCATAAATTTGGATTTGAATATGTCTATATCTCATCTAAATAAAAAAAAAATTAAATAATTATTTGAAAAAATTTAATAAAAAATAGATGTAATTTGTTAAATTTTAATTAAAGTAAGTTATTTGAATCGAATAGAATTATGAATGGTTAACGAATTCATATTTGAACCATGAAAATTAAATTTGTTCGAACTTTTAAAATCCAATTTTTGTTCAAATCAATTCAAATTCAATCTGTTGATATACCTAAAGTTTGTCAATACTTGTTTCACATGCAGAGAGTAAGAAGGGTGGTGAGTAGGGATGGTAGTGAACCGGAAAAAAATGGGTATTCGTTAAAATCTTTCCTGTTTGAACCGGAGATGGATTATATATATTGGACGATGGACATATATAGAAATACGGTATAAACCCGTACGGGGATGAAAGCGGGAATGGACTTACCCTTACCTCTGCCCCGTCCCTTCCCTGCCCCCGCTAACCGTTAAATATCTATATATATAAATACTCCAAAAATCTAACTAAATATATTTACTGTAACTACTAATCTAGAAATATGGTAATCAAATTAATAAGTGATATTGTTATGTGATAATCTTATCAACTTTTTTCCTAATTGTTATCTTTTCTATGTGTGCTCACTGATTGAAACTGTTAGGAGTTTGGATTGACTATGCTCTAAAAACATATAAGAGAGAATAAGATAATTTTACATTTAATCGTTAGTAAAATTATTGAATTAACAAAATTTTAATTTTTCATCTTTTAACACTTTATAGTTGTAATATGAATTATAATAACAAAAATTCTTCTAGAAAACTTCAAGTGTAGTGTTATTATTTTTTTCTTTATTTATTTCTAATAGTTTTGTTTCACTTTTTGTGGTCAATGACACTTTAAATCGAATACTACACTTTAAATAGACACTTTTTGCGGAAGCAGATGTCCACGACCACGCACTACATGGCATCAAGTCACAGCAATCGCATATCGGTCCCCTCTTTTCCACTTAGGAATTTGCCAGATCTATAGTGGGAACACAGATCCTCTGATGTGTTCCTCAAAACGACGCCGTTTTACACATACAACACGAAACCAATGCCATTTTACACATGTTGTTTTGAGGAATAGCATCTCTGCTGTGCAGTAGAAGATTCAGTCCGGATTCCTATAGTGGTACATGAAAATGAAATCAAATATCAAGCCAGAAAAAGAGAATTGCTGCATCAAATCAGTCATAGCATTGAGGAAAAGAGATGTTTTATTGACCCTAAACATCACTTCTTGCAATGCATTTATTGCATTATTCTTTGCAAGTACTTGCTGACACAGAATCTAAATAAGCAGCTGAAAGCTAAAAGCTAAAGCATGTTCAAAATGAAGGATACACTGCTAAATAAGGGGAAGCAAAATAACCAAAGACTACAACAGGTCTCGATCATCATCCTCCGATGGACGCGGGAAGGAGGCTAGATATACCCAACCTGGTCGAGGAAAACCATAACTTAGTGGCACACTCGAAGATCAAATTTCAGAGCTTCCTGCCCATCAGTCTGATATCCTTATCTCTACTCCCAATATGTCCTTAACTTGTTCGTATGTCACAAAAGCAATGGCTATGGATGGTACTACCTGAACCAAGTAACAGCAAAGTCAACACATTATTGGACATTATCTGTATGAAAACAATAACAAATCACCTTATTAACCAAGCAAATGAATTAACAAAATAAACACCCAAATGCAGGTAGTAACTTATAAAGGCAAGTGTTAGTGAGTAACACACAACCACTAGAAGGCCTTTGTATGCTCAATGGAACCAAACTTGGCCCCAAGGCTCAAGGCAGTGGGTCTTACCACAATGACTCAATCTCTTCACCCGACTTGGGACAACATGACCCTTACAGCAAGTAATAACATCTTTCTATAAGGTATCAGCAACTTCTTTTGGTACCAATTGCATACCAATATTGCTATGAGTTGATTGGTTCAGCACACGTTTTCACACAGAATCAAGTGCAGAATTAACTGTCCTAGGCATTAAGCCAGTGATGGAATGAACAATCAAACCATTTTTAAACAATTACTTTCTCTCTGAGTGCTAGCCCTATTTGATCTTCCATTCCTACCCACGTATAAAAGAATAATTGATGGTTTTCTATGATAAGCTATCAAGAGATTGTTTCAATAATTTCCGAAACAAGCTAACCCACGACACACAATACCTGACACAATCAATTTGTGAACAATATCCTGAGACATTGGCACATCCCCACACAACCTTCATTTAACAATTACCAATTATCTATCCATCCTTGGAATTTTAATTGGGACGAAGTGATCAGAATGATGGAACAATATAAGTCACGTTATAGGATGAGAATATCTGACTGACCTTCACTGAATTGGGGACCAAACCCTTGTACAATGCTCTAAAGCCCTCGTGCCTAACAGTTTTCCTGAAAGCATCAATCATGCCTGTGTATTCGAGGGGAGCTTTGGTTTTCCCGTCACCAGTAACAATGGAAGCAGCATCTTTCCATCCCACCATCTGCATTCTCCGACGAATGACATCGAGAGGGTAAGCCACAGTTTGGCCAACGGTTCCTGCAGCAGCCCCACAGGCAAGTCTCGTGGTGACACCCAACTCAGAATCTTCAACAAGTCCAAAAGACTTAGATTTTATCAACCAATCCTTTAAAGATTCATATACGGCAAAGTTGAGACCCACATATGGAATCTGCAAACACCAAATGAAACTATAAATTCCATAAAAAAGACCGAGGAGAAAATACATTTCCTGATGTGACGTTTTTAATCTGGTAACTGAACATAAGAGCATGAATATGATTTTGGTCAAACATCTCCAGGGATGGGGGCAAAAGTGGTGTCAATAGATGTCAAGATTCTGTTTACCATGCTCCATGCCAACAGCAGAACAAAGATCCAGAAAGGTATTAATCTTAATTGAAGACCTTATAAAGTGCATATCTTGGGCCAACACTCAGTTTTAGAATGTCACTATAACTGATCAGTTTTCATTTTTTCCCTGTTATCCATCCAGGGCACTGACATTGTACCTGGTTGCACAATGAAGAAAATCTGGATTGTCTGCTTATCAGTCCCAGCTTACCACGAAAAAAGGATACAGGGGAAATATAGAGACTCTAGAAGAATAATCATGAAATGAGGATTTTGAGGTAACCCACACTAGGGTTGGTACAAAGAGTCTTAACCCTGGTAAAACCTAGATAACATGGCAAACCTTCCAAGAATCAGCATTAAAACATCCAGTTCCCAACAAGGGAAGGACAAAGGCAAAAAATTAGGCTGAATACACATCTTCATGATAGGAATGCCAAGGAAGTGTTGGTAGGCATCATGAAATAAAGTTCAAATATAAAGAATCCAGAATAGAGGAAAAACTGATTACAAAATAAAAAATAGAAGTATCATCTGAAGAATAGAGGTTTAGCATAACAACCATGTTATTCTCTAGAATGTCATAGCTTGTTATGTAAAGCAAGTTTCAGTTTAACTATTCTAGTTTCCCCCAGTTTGACAGTAGAAAATAAGGGTGGTGTGACAAAGATTTACTAATAATGATATGTCTAGCAAGAAAGATCTTCTCACAGTGAAGGTGGACTGATCATTGCCAAAAAGATTCATCAAGTAGATTTCATTTTTATAGGGAGTAAGGGACAAAATAAAAAAGATCAAACTTCTCATTTCTTATGTAGCACCAATTGCCAGGAGATTCCTCCACTACCATCTCAAGATTACCGATAAAATCCTCAAAATGGAAAAACTGAACTTTTAAATGAACACAACTACATGAGTGGGACAGCTGCAGAAATAGGTCTTTACTTCACATATTACAACATTGATTATTGGACACACAAAGTTTAGAAAGTGTATCACCATCATCATGAAACTTACAACTCCAATGACAGAAGGAAGCCAGCCCTTATACAAAGCCCGGGGGCCTTCCTCCCGGAGCACAGTTGATAAAGCATGGACAATTCCTCTGTACTGGTAAGGTGATTTCTCTGTCTGAAAAATAAGAAAGGACTTCATGCTAGTGCAATAGAAGCAAACAAAACTGCCAGGTATTCGTAAACAGAACCCACAAAACTTTAAAAGGCTCTAATTTTTCAAGGAGACTCACAACCTGCACAGTCAGTCTGCCTCGTACCATGTCCATTGGGTAGGTTGCAGACATCGCAATTATTCCAGCACAAGCTCCAGCTCCGAGGCGTAATACAGGAGTTAACTGAGCATCCTCTGCAAAACATAACGAGAATAATGACACAAATGGTTCCCCAGTTTTTCTAGTAAGAGCTGTTTATACCTCAGTTTCTAGCTCACGGAAGGAACTTTTTGTATTGCTTTCAGCAGATGCACAGGACAACACATATCATGAGCATCAAAGAAATGTGAGGGATGCAGATTCTCATTAACCATTAACAATACTTCTAAGGCAGTGCTTTACAACCAGAAAGCATATGTGAAAATAGTACGAGCAATGGACTAACTACTAGACACATTTATGCTAAGTTCAGCAGTTAACTATCTTTGAGAAGGAATATGAAAAAAACCTAGTTTACCCGCAGTCTCTCTGCATCCATGGATGTATGGTTAAAACACCAATATATCTGGACTGGTGAGAATCTCATGGTAATAATGTCTGTGCTAAGCTCAAAAGGTTGAACTAGGTAAAGACCTAAACTCAGCCTTTATGCACAAACTACCTTCCCACAAGTCAAACCTGCATTCTCATGCTTGACACATTGAGCTTTAATTATGCACCAACAATGGCTCCTTGCCACAAAGTCAATAAACCAAAAAGCTAACAATGTGGGGAGAAGATGAAAGACCTATCACCTTCATATCTACCAAATCTTGGCATCTCAAAAATACTGAAGAATTGCATTAGTAGGACATATTCTTGGCCTTGAAAAGATTGGCAGCCAAGTAAACACCACTGCAAGCAACTGCTTGGCGATAAGATTATATTATAAATGAACTGTGCAATTATTCATTTATTCTGCTAGAAGCTCACATATTAACAACAAAAAGAAAAATCAAAAGTTTCAAGCCGAACTAACATGTAACCACACATGGAATATGACAGAACATGTCATATTTAATCTACGACCTGTATCCTGTGAGATGAGCACCCACTCAAGAACCAAAATAAATATACCCCAACATTCAAAAATGTTCAAAACTATCAACATGATAGAAATCATGTAGGGATGATTTTCCGACCCCAAGAACAATGACACAGAGACAGAGCTAAAGGATGATAGACATACCATTGCCAGTTTGCTGTTGGTATAGCAATAATATACCCCTGTCGCCATATAACAAAGAGAGTTAAAATAAGCAAGAAGATTTATGTTCCTTTTCTTGGGATAAGTAACGAAATGAAATGGAATAAAAATAGGTAAATGATCGTGAAGGTTAAATAATAATAATCTAATGATAGTTTCTATAGTATGTAGACAACCAAGACACTTGAATTTGCAGTTTCCCGATTGTAGGAGTCCACTGAAATTTAAAATTCGTAAAACAAGAGACATCTCCTCAAGATGTCTAAAAGGTAGAACAGTGTTGTAGGTGGGTTGTTTTAGTTAAAGGCCAAGGGGCCAACCCAAAGGGTTGAAAAAGCTTCCCCTGCCCAAGCCCAATCCCAATCCCAATCCCTTGTCCAGGCCCAATCCAGTTATGCTGTCCAATATTAATGCTGAAAGGGATTCCTGGTGGTAAAGAGTTTAAGGGGAAACTCTGAGACAAGATGAGATTTGCCAGACATGAGGTGGCAGGTAAAGAAAAAAAAAGACTGAAGAGTTTTACAAAAGGCAAAAATTCCAAGAAGTTCATGCCCTAAAGCTTTTAAGAAACCATAAAATGAAAGAGGTTGCGAAAGAAATTTAATATTTTGTTTTTCATTTGCCGCAACAAGATGCTGTTGGCCCACCCAAAACCGAGTTCCGATAGATGAACAAAACAAAACACAACTTATGCTATGTGTTCCTTTGCTTCCATATACAGGGAGAACCTCATATAAGATTTTAACAGCCTCAAAAACAGAAGCCCATTATCGTCATAAGAAATGCATTTGCCACAATATCAAACTTGTTAGAAGCACCTAAGTTCTAAATATCCAGAGTCATTCCACAAAGAAACCTGGTCAGCAAAGCTGCACAGTTTTCAGCCCAATCAAGCAATTATTTCACATAGTTTCCCAGATAATACATGTTAGTTTCCCAGATAATACATGTTTCAAAAACATTTTCACCTATGCTTTTCAGTGTATGTGGCTCATTAAGATTTTTCTTATGTCAATAGCTAATCAGACCACAATGTTTGTTTTAACCAATCTTTTTGGGTCAGACTTTGTATCATTTCTATAAATAACAGGAACTTGGGACTATAAGGGCCACATTGCATACTCAAATGAACTCAATAAAGCCAAAATCCAACAATTTTACGTCAGAAAATGAAATCATTCCCCGTCAACTTTAAAATCCTTCACACTCATGTTAAACATTGGACTTCTTTCTGGGGAAACAATCACAAAAGAAAAAAGATCAACCAACAACATAGAGTATATAAATGCAAAAGCCATTCAAGAAAGGATCATACTTGGAGGCTTGCTCATAGCTAAAGAATTTGACAGCTGAATTTGGGACAATACGAGCACAATTAGTACCATTGCCTTTGAACAATCCCCTGAAGCCCTCAGTTCTCCATATGTATTTCAAGCCTTGAACTGTACCGTTGTATTTTATGCTATGGGGATTTTGAACCTGCATATTGAAAGTGCCACTTAATATATGAAATATGCATGGTACTAGTTGATCAAAATTTTCTTTCAACGCATATATTTTAAGAAAAAAAAACCAGCAATGCCGGTCTGTATGGTACCAGTTGATCAAAATGCCAGACCGTTTATATTCTTGTGATATAGAATTTCAATTTACCCATAAGAAAAATATATTAGGCAATTCATTTGAAAACCAGAAATGTATAAAATTAATTTGAAATCATTTAAAAGTCTGGCATGAACATTTTGATGCTGGTGGTACAATATTGCACTGGTTGCATTACATAAAAGCAATCCACTATTTGAATTATCTTTTTTACAGCTTGAAGTGGGTTCACAAATTTTCTTCACAACACGAATGTAATATATATTACCACAACAAGAAAAAGGCCCAGTGATTTACATCGGTGACGGTGCACAATTAGATGAAAAAGTGTAAAAATTTAAAATCAAGCTACAACCATGGACAAATGCCATGATTTACTACTAGCAATGGAAATGAAGGAATAGTAACAAATGATGGCCAAATAAGAAACTAAAAGGTTTCCATTAGATTGATAAATTAGAAGACTTTGCCAACACAATTAGATTACCAAGTATAAGTAAAAAAGAAGTGCCGTTGAACCACCATATAACTGACGCGTCCAACCATATCAAAGCGAAAATTAGATGGACTGTGGTAGAGTATACCGCATGGCAATGGTGAGATTCCTTATTTGCAGTACACAAACGTTAAGGGGGAGGAAGGCATAGAGGAAGCATCTATGTGACATTCAAAGACTGAACTTTATTACTATTGTCAACTAAAATTTTATCAACTGTTCCTATATGGCATAATTACTTATTACACCTGTGCTTCGATAGTCAAGCTAGATGCGAAAATATGCACATATGCTTTATGTAAACACAGATGTAAATATGCTACCGAACCTTTGATAATGAGTAAGGACTGGAGTTGGGGATGTGATGGTTGCACAACAAAGCATGGATATGGGGATTCAATGGGCAAGGAAATCAACAAATTCAAGGCAAAACTAGCCAACCTGTAGCAATATTTTTAATCGTTCCAATGGGGCTACAGCAGTGCGTGACCTGAGATACACACAGCAACTCGATTAATATCAAGAAGTAACTCAAAGACTACAAGAAAAGCTTATAAAGCAGCTAAGCATAATTTAATCATGTGATCTTTCAAATTACTTCTCATTTCTACCTCCAAATTTTCTCAGCAACCAGACAAAATGTGTAAAAAATATAATCTTTACTGCATTTTTTCTCGGAAATTGATATTTGGATAACAAAATAAAAACTCACACGCCTCCGGCAACGCCTCCGGCGACCAAAGACTTGCAGATACTGAGGATCTGCTCTCTCGTAGGCTTCACTCCTTGTCTCGCAAGTTTCGCCTCTTCGGCGAGATTCACGATCGTCGAAACCGCGGATTCACCCGTCTTGACATCCTCCGAAGCCATAGAGAGAAAAACCTCAGGAAAACTCAGAAACTCAATCAAGTTCTCGCGGGAACCCTCGGTCAAGGATCTGAATCAATCTTACTTGCCGTCAGGTTCCCGACGATAATAAATCTGCGTTGCGGCGACTATTGAGGTCTCTGCATTCTCTCTCTCTCTGGAATCGCAGTGGTGGTAGTGGTAGCTGAAATGCTTTATGCGACGGCGTTTCTGAAATATAGCATACGAAGTAAGCACACTAGCTAGAGTATGAAGTAATTGGAGACTCGCTGCACAAACTCAACCAGCTGGAATTCAATGGAGTTACTCGGGTGTTTATAAGGACCACCGTAAGTGCCCATAACTTCCGCTGACTAATTTTGATTGGATACAACAATGGCACCCGAAAAGTTATTTATTCTCGGTATATCTCTACTTTTTTCATTTGTTAAATAAAAAAATAATTTATTATTCCTATAATCCATAATTATAAATATGTAAACCAAAATTTACAACACTATATCAAATTTAATAATATTTTTTGAAGGCCTTTTCCCCCTTTTATCGAGACTTTAATCGAACGGCGTCGTTCAAAATTTTTTTAAATTTAATGTTGTTTAAATTGTTATAAGATTCAAATCTACAACCTTTAGATCATAAAGTTAAATTGTCTAACCCGCTACGACAAGTGTTATAACACACTATTATGGATACAAAGAGTTCTAATCTTTCGAGTCATCAAGTAATACATTATTCTAATTTTATGTAATGTGTTTAAAAATTCAAAAAGATCTTACTATTCATTTAAACAAATTAAAATTGAATCAATTCAAAGGATTGGGTTTATTAAACAACATTATTTGTCGTTGTTTCATGTGTTGGGGTTAGTGATTTGAGCATAATTTTTAGAAGTGATTGGGTGCATTTGGTGAGAAGACTACAGAGTCGTTGGTGTTCTTTGGAACACTTAATCAGCTGAAAAAGAGGGATTAAATACCGTATTAATGTCTTCATAGGGAAATGGGTGGCCGTGCGGGTTTAGATGCAGCCATTGACACAGTCAAGCGTGGAAGTACCCCACGGCCGGCCCACCTATAACATAATAATAGAGGGAAGAAACTTCAAAATCCAAATCACTGTGACGTCGTTTTAAAGTGTAAATAACTACTTAATGAGTAATATTAGAAGAAAAGATTGAAAATAAAAGATTAAATAATGGGAAATTTTTATAACAATATTTTTTGTCTCGTGGTCGGATGTATTCGGGTCAGGTTATGAACTCTTTACTTACTTTTTCTTTTGGTTTGATTAAAGACAAATCATCTACATCAACACTAGAGAATTCATGATAAATAAATACTTTATAATCTGGTCCTAAAAGAGTTGTTAAATTTCGATCTAAAAATATCTGAATTTATAATTCATATATGTCTCCACTGAACTACCATTGAAATTGTTCTTTATCTTATTTGTGTTTTGAGTGAGTCTCGTCATTTGAGTCACAATTTCGTACAACAAACCAAGACGTGGTTTGGTTTTATGAAGTGGAACTCTTAAAGTTTAATGCGACAATTAGAAATCAATTATCAAATAATTACGTAAAAAAGTAGGTAAGCGAAGCGTATATATTTGAGATTAATTATTGTTAATTAGATGCTTAAAAATTCAAGGGTTAAATTTGCATGGTCCCTACACACGACTAAATTTCCCACAATTTCCATTCTTTCATCTTCTTGAAATGCTAACCTCTTAAAATGATGTGTGATCGATAAATGGCCACTAGATCCGACAAGTCATTATCAACCAAGTTACTTTGATTTAAACTAGGTTCCTTAACTTGGTGCATCACAACATGAAGGATTGAGTTGGGCCAGCAACAACCCGGTTTCGTTTGTTTAAATCTGGATCCATTAAGTTGGGTGACAGGACAACTTGGGTTGGGCCTCAACAGCAACAACAATTGCATGGACGTGCTCATGTTTTCTTGCCAACGAAGAACTGTCCCGACTCAAATTTGGGACCTCGAAATAGTAAATAAGATTTTCCCATTTGGGTCATTGAACTTATTTTTAACAAGCTCAATCTGCATGAGTAGTGGGAGGCATATTAACTTCGAGAATTTATATGATGGTAGGGTGAGCCTCGATAAATGGTTTATAACCCCAATAGGTAGTTCAAGTAGTAATAAAAATAAATTGTAAAATTAGACATTCTAAATTTAAATCTTGATAACCCTTTGAAGCCAAACCATGAGAGATTTATTATTTATTAATACCTTAATTCAGGTAAGAATGACTTGTCTTTGATTGAATCAAAGAATAAATTAATCGAGATACGTATAAACTGGTCCAAATATTCCTAACCATTAAATAAAAAAAAAAGTTAAATGATTTATGATCCACGAACTAGTCCATCAACCTAGTAGGCAGTAGCCCACCAGGACATAAGATGTCGGGAACCCATCATGCGGTGGCTATTGGGCAGCTCAATAGTGCAACAGGTAGGGGCCAGTAGATCGTGACATTTGGGCAGTTTGGCTCGGTCGTCTTGCGGCCCAGTCCATTAGCCTAACAGAGTTTTTTTTTTTTTTTTTTAACATAGGACAAGTACAGCCAACACTTTAAAAAGTGAAGATTGCAGGAGTCTATATAAACACACACACACACACACACCCTAATACTATCCGATATAGGATTGCCCATGCCCCTATTCACCCAGGCCCTAAAGTCTCACCCGATCTATGGTCAACCCCAAAGAGGGAGGTTAGCAGAGCCCACAAACATGCATCTTGAAACACACGATTTTTTTGAATAGAGGACAATTACAACCAACACCTTAAAAGGGGAAGGCTATAAAGTCTATATAAGCACATACACTTTCCTTAAGACTATCCGATGTGGGATAGCCCCACCTAGCAGAGTTGAAACAAACTTGGCTTTCACACATATTTTTTATTTTGTACCCCTCAACTATGTATTAATTTTACATCACCCAAATTATTAATATTTGTTAAAAATTTAACGAAAAGTTGTTTTGTTTTGTCACTTGAACTGTGTAATTTTGTTGCTTTGTCTCAACACACCGGATGTAAGTAATTGAGAAAATAATATGAAAATTTTAAAATTTTAAAGAACAAAGTGAAACTTAGCTCATAATTAACAACGCCAAGATATAATTTACCCCACAAAATTAATAGATTTGAAAATTTATGGAAGAAATTTGAAAAGTAGGACAACGGGGGCTGGCTCTACCTAATCCATTAATGGCCTAGATGCCCTATTTGTGGAGAAAATATCGAACACATCATCGTTGTTAAATAGTATTACTATTTATTAATAAATTTACATGTAAATATATGGTTCAGTTTATGTTAGTAACTACTCTATCTACATCAAAGAATAATTACCCCAAATAAAAAAAATAAGGTTCACCTAAGCTTATCATATCAAGTTCATATTATATTATATCGGGTTCATGTCGTGCATCATTTATGTATAACTGATATATAAATGAGTGTGTCGTATATTTTTTTTGTCGCCATTTTTATGTTTTCATTACGGTATTAACAAGTAATTTTTTAATATATCAACGGGTTTTGAATCTAATAGTATTCTTTATTTTGTAAATGTTTTGTTTTTTTGAAGTCAAGGGTTCAAATTCCTCTTCGTGTCCCGTTCTCTCTCTTCCTCCAAAAAACTAAGAAGGTAATTTTTTAATATCGGAGTAAATTCTATTTTATTTTTTGAAAATTATCAAAATTTTTAATTTCTCTCCTAAATGATTAATTTTTTTTTTTCATTGTCTCTATAAAGAATAAAAAATATTACAATGTAGTCCACCGTCTTATCTAATAAAATCATAATTAATGTATTATTGCACGGGACTACAACTATTACAGTGTTGCAGTGTCCAGAGTTCGAAACCGCCACCGCCCACAATCGCCTAAAAGAGAAGGACTTTTCCTTTGGGTAGAAAAATCACGATCATGATAAGAATAACGTCTAAAAAGTCTCTAAATCAATTTCATTGTAATATTACATACATTTTTTTTTTGGGCACGGTAAACTTATCCAAGCCTATATATTAATTCCATGCCATTGACAAAATGTGTGTACGATTGCAACATAATATGCAACGAATTTGGTTGTTTTTATGATCCGACAATAACCATGGCTTGCAGATAGAAATGTCAGTGGATCGAATTAGGAGCAATTGAGAGTGTAGGGTGTAGTCTCCAGCTTAAAAAACCTCCATTCATTCTCGATCTACTCTCGTTAATGAGTATAATTTTCATCTTCATTCCTGTACGCGGGTAAATTTATAATCTCCACCCCCGTCTTGAACAACATGTTTTTAAACATTGGAAGTCGTGTTTTGAAAACGGGTTTTTTTTGAAAGTTCAGGAGCCTTGTAAATAAATTTAAAATTGTGATATTTTAGTAAAATAATTACAACACTACTATCTAACTCCTTTTCTTTTTTACTCTTTTACAGGTCTCATTCGGTCTCTAAAACAACTCAAACTTTTCTCATCTAACTGAATATTTTTTAGTTTGAATCCATTTTCACCCATTGCTATGAACTTTTTAAAAAATATTACAAACTGTTGTTTGGACCAGTTCAACTCTCTTGTTGTTCCAAAAACGATATTGCATCAATTGTAAATAAATGTCATTTTCTAATATAACAACGTTTTAGGAACAACCATCTTTGTTGTGTAGTCGTAGAGTCGAGACATCAATTTTAAACATAAATAATTTTGCAATAATGTCCCCCTACTCTAGGGTGAATTCATATTCACCATGACGGATTAATATTTATCAAAGTATTGCTACGAACTTCTTAAAAAATATTATAAAACTATTGTTTGAATTGGTTTACCTCGTTTTTTGTTCCTATAATGATGTTGCATCAATTGTAAAGAAGTGTCATTTTTTAAGTGATGTAGCGACGTTTTAAGAGCGATCACCTCTGTAGTATAGCCGTAGAGTCGGGGCACCAATTTTCAACCAAAAAAATTATGCAATAATATTGCACTGCACGAGAAAATGACGGAATTATCAATCATAATTTGCCTTCGATTGGATGAAAAATAAATAAATAAATAGCAGTGGCAAGTGTGCTGACGAGCACCGGCATATGTTAATCGTGCCAATCACATATATATATATATATACAATATAATGCAGATAGGCTTCAGTTCATAGGTGGCCCTCACCGTCAGATGTCTTTCAAATGATGGTCACTAGTATTGGGGTCATTATTTAATTTTCCCAAATGTCAATCAAGATTAAGACTTTTACTTTGTTTAATTTGTTACCTTTCTTTTTGGAAAATTAATGTTAG